ACAACAGACGCGACGAAATACCTGTGAAGGTCTTATGCGTGACCGTTATGACGATCAAAATATAATTATGGACGTTGAGGAACTTCTATATGGTCCAGGGATTGCTGAATAGCAATAAGTGAATCTATTTTTCATTACAAATTATAAAAAAAATCCATAAGAAACTATATTTTTTAGTTCGTTACAGTGTTCTACCCCCTTAATATACTGTTATAGAACAACATAATATGATAAACATTCAATTTGTTCATGAAACTATTTATGCTAATACATACGTTACAGTTTTGGGGTCAACAAAATAAATATAAATGTCGTTATGCGACGTAAAGGGTAAAAGTGGTAGGAATTAGTTGGTGGAGGCGAGAAAGAGGAATCTCGATGTTGAGAGGGATGTAGAAGAGCGGGATGGCATCGAAGAACGCGTCCGCCGGCGAACAAAGTTCAGAAGCGGTAAACAGGGGGCTGACGGTGGCGCAAGAGGGCGCCGGGATCGCGCCGGCAATCGGAGTATTTATACCAGGGAGTTAGCGGCAGTTTCTCCCGGACAAGTACACTACGGTTAAACTAATTTCGAACTCGGCGCCCCCGAAGTTGGCAACTATTATTGCGCGATGTTTGGTCCGCCGAAAGTTTCGAAATGTGTTTCGGAATACGGCCGCCGCACGTACACACGCGGCGTGTGCTACCCTTCCCTTTTCGCCACCCCTATAGCTTACCGCCCTCGCTCCGAATCCCGCTTATCTACCGTCGCCTACTGCGACCGAACGAATAGGGTTGGTTGGTTGGTCGGTCGGCTAGCTTTGGATGTTTTAATAAATTACCCGGCGCTGGTTGACGCGGAGGCGGCGAGTGGAGGCGACCGCCTCGCAACTAGTTTGTTTTAATCCAAAACTGGGCAGGTATTCCAGAGGAAAGTGAGCGGTACAGAGCCAAAAGAAAAACAACGGAATGGGATGGATAATTAAATTGCACAAGTTTGGAACAGATATATACGAACTCGGAGTTGTTTTTCTTTCATTTTTTTTTTGTAATTTTATTATAAAGTACATTTTAGTAAAATAAATGTTCTATATCTTTGTGACATAAATCATAATAAAAGTTCCAGGCATCTCTGGAAATCACTAAGGCATCTGAATGTTACCAAATCATAAGAGCAGGTACTTCCACAACATTTGAATAACGTTGAAGACATTAATGATGATTTTTTACAAGCTGCTGAAAGCTCAATGATCGCTGATCCAGACTTAATTCAAGCTTATACTACTACGAAAAAGTCTACCTTTAATGAATTGTTTGCTTTTGTGCCTGTTTCGGAGCATATTGTAGCTTGCCATTTGTTAAATATCAAGTCTGGTAGTGTGGGATATGATGAACTCTCGGTTGTGATGATACATCACTGTTGTCCTTTCATCATTCCTTACGTCACACATATTAATATGTGCTTATCGAGGTCAATCTTTCCAAAATGTTGGAAGAAATCTTTAGTAACACCTTCGCCAAAGATTGAAAATCCTATGACATTTTCGGACCTGCGACCAATTAGTAATTTACCTGTTTTGTCTGAAGTATTAGAAAAAAATATGAATGATCAAATTCGGGAATTTGTCGATAAACTTAATATTTTGCCTAGAACACAGTCTGGATTTCGTGCTAACTAATTTAATGCTAACTACAGCATTAACGCATATAGTTGATGACATATTGTTTGCGGCGGATCAAAATAGGCTTACTGGATTAGTTCTGCTAGACTACAGTAGGGCCTTTGATACTGTCAATCATAGGATCTTATCAGCTATCTTATCCTTTATTGGATTCAATGATTCTGCTATGAGCATGATTGATAGTTATATGTCAGACAAACAACAAGCGGTTAAATTGGGTGATCGGAGATCTGAACTGCGAGGCTTGAAGTCAGGAGTGCCACAGGGTTCTATCTTGGAGCCTCTACTGTTTTGTATCTACACTTCTAATCTTTCGACAGTTTTGAACATTTTTATACTGACGATTCCCAAATCTATCTATCGTTCTTACCTACGGACATGGCCACTGCTCAAGTTAAATTAGGCGAGGACATAAATAATCTGATAGATGTATCCACTAAACACTCGTTACGGGTAAATTCAAATAAATCAGTGGTTATGCTCTTTGGCTCACGAGACTCTCTTGCAGAAAATTTTAAAATCAATATTGGTGGTAAATGTATTGGTGTTAGGGAGTGTGCTAGAAATTTAGGATTACAGGTCGACTCGAATCTTAGGTTCGAAAAGCACATCCTGGACAAAACAAAAATGTCATTTGTTGCTTTGAAGCTCATATATAGCATGAAGAATATTTTAAATCGCAGCACAAAGGTTATGCTTTGCGATTTCTTAGTGCTGAGTCATTTTAGCTTTTGTGATACAGTATTTCATAGTTGTCTGAACTGAAAAACATCACAAAGGATTCAGCGTGTTCAGAATGAGTCTCCGAATAATTTTCAGGTTTCGACGAGGGTACCATGTCTCACACAGGCTGATCGATCTTGGGTGACTGAATATGTTTAATCGTCGCATATACCATATGGATTCATTTTATCATAACTTACTGCTGCTTAAATGTCCATCTTATTTGTATGATAAGATTACATTCCGCACTGATGTCCATAGCTTAAATGTTCGAAGCAAGGGTATTGTCACACCACCGCTACATGTTACTACATTACTTGAGAGATCATTCTCTTATAACTTACCTAAATTTTATAATAGCTTGCCCCAATCATTGAAAATGTTGAGCTTGCCGTCGTTTAAAGTAAAGATGAAAAAATTTTTATATGGAGAGCGATGTGATCAGATGCAGGGTGGGACACGTGGAATGCGATGATTTGGTTTTGCTTTTTATGCAATTGTATTACCATCTTTAAAAATCTTTTCTTTCGTTTTATTTTTTATTGGTGCACTATTATTATTAGTTTTATTCGTTTAGTTTATTTTTTTATTATATTTTGTTTATTTTTATGACAGGGTTGAGTTGAAGAGAAGACGATTGTCTTAACTTCGCCCTTGCCAACCAGTTAAATTTATATTGTTATTTTGTGAAATTCCATTCTAATAAAGTCTATTATTATTATATTAAACAAATTGCAAAGAAACGTAAAACATTTTATCTACGACTGCTTGGATAAGTCATCATTACCACATTCATTTGAGGTGATTTGAGTTACGTAATGAAGTTCATTACCGCACTGGTTTCATTATGTAACGCATTTTTAGCCCAATCAGAACAGACTTAATTTATTGAAACGAGCAACAATACAAAAAAAAAGTGAAGAAACAATATCATTTATTATTATTATAAACATTAATTGTTATGTTTTTACATTACGAAACACTTATTCCAGATGCGTAAATATGTTATTGAAACTGACATTAATTCAAAATTGTTAACAGACATTTCAAAATATTTTTATAAATGTCAAAATAGACCTTTTTAAAGAAATTGATTTTTAAGTAATTTTTAGCAGTCGTAGATAAAATGTTGTATATCACACGTGGGCTAGAACATAATTACAATACTCGTGTGATTATATTTCTAGCCCACTTGTAATATAAATAATTATTATTTTTACGTCAATATCAAAAACAACCTGTATCTCGTCTCTCTCCATCATGTCGTTAATTCATGTTTGCTTAACTCATCCATTCATAATTAGTAAGTAAAGTTTGTAAAATAAAACAATGGGAATGGCATTTCAGCAAACAAACTAGAAGACATATATATAAGCTCCCCCCACTTATACTCAGACTTCACACTACTTATTTAGTTTGTATCTAAAATTTGGCGTGCACACGCCAAACACAATGCAGCTTTTATTTTGTTATTTATGGCAGAAGAAATTTGAAACTAAAGCGAGGTTGTAATATTTGTGACTAGTTTATACAACATTTTTATTTAGAGTTAGTTAAACTACATCATTCATTCATGATAACTTACAGGTGTTGTAGTATTTTACAGTGATAATAATCTGTACACAACATGTATATTAAATTCAGTAAGTAATTTTCCGTTGAAAACTTCCTATTATACACGTTCCACGCCTTCGGTTTCTTGGAACAGATAAAGCCGCATTGTCAGATGTGGAACGTATCAATAATAAAGCGTTTCGAGCGTTGTATAGCGTAGGCATAAAATGAGGTCAAGTTAACAACGCCGTTACGTTATCGTTGACATTTGTTTTACGCTACGGTGTGGTCGTCGTAAAGAAAGCGTGTTACACAGCGACCGTGTTTTTTTATATTTATGTCCGAGTGTGTTTTTATTCCATTTGATTATCGAATTATTTGCTGCGCTTGTGGAAAAGCCGACAAACGCCGTCCGTCAAAATGAGTAAACGACTCGTATTACTCAGCGAATTTCTCTATATATGTGGACGTTAACGTTAACAAGAAGCGATTTTCATGGGGATTTTGCCCTATTTTCGTCCTTTACACCCCTTAATCGGATGCGTTCGACAAGCCTCGTTCACTTCCGGACTATTTCCGTGTTAAACGACAATAACAGAAAAAGGCCCACGAAACTTTTGGATAGCTTGTAACCCTATAGTTGCCAGTTGGGGGTGAAGTGGTGAACGTTGTACATTTTCTTTCTGTAATTGGATTTTGCGGTACCGATTCATTGATGTTGTTTAATTAACTGCGGTACAGTACTTTGTTATGTGTGCTATGTTGCGATAATATGGTGGTGTTGTGTATAGATCGATGTTTAAATGCAAAACTGTTGATGCCGAGAACTTTACCATTGGCATGCAAATTAATGGTCGAGTGTTGCAAACCTTTTACCTGACTTGACAAACGGCCTGCATGTTCATTGAAAATCCGTTTCGGCCCCTTGCTTTAGAAATTTGTGAAAGGGGCAATTTGTTCGAGTCTATTAACGTTCCGCGTAGAGTTCGGTTCCTTTTGAAATTTTTCTATTGCTACAAAGCAGTTCAACTAACTTAAAAACGTATTTTTGTAATATGTCATATTTATAAATATTTTTTTGTATCATTGCAGACGGTCGTCTACATGCGCCAATATGGAGTGTACAGTCAGTCGCGAAGCGTAACCTAACCTCCGCCTGACTCGGAGCCGACAAACTAAGGAAACGACGACCGAAACCAACAGCCCGGAATCTGCGAGAAAAAAGGACGACAACGATAACAGTTATATTTAGACGAAGAAGAAGGGCGGAAAAGAAGGAAAAACGTCAAAATTTAAAGAAAAGATAAGAACGCACGGTGCGGGAGTTTCGTGTTGCGTTCGGCCAACGAAATTAATTAATTTTAATAAAAGAAAAAGAGTGTAAAGTGAACGGTGATAACGGGACGGACGGTTGCATGCGTCGTTACTTGGGGCGAGCGTCGTCGTAAGGGTACCGCGCGCGCGTTTTTCGTCAAATGGACAAACGTAAAATGATGGCAAAGAGGCCGAGGGTTGAAAACATACGCGGCGGCCCGATCAGCAACGGGCCCATGCAAGCACGCCCTTTGGTGGCGCTTCTTGACGGTCGCGACTGTTCGATCGAGATGCCAATTCTAAAGGACGTCGCGACGGTCGCCTTCTGCGACGCCCAAAGCACCAGTGAAATTCACGAGAAGGTGTTGAACGAGGCTGTGGGCGCGCTCATGTGGCACACGATCATCCTCACGAAGGAAGATCTCGAGAAGTTTAAGACGCTCAGGATCATCGTGCGTATAGGGTCGGGCGTCGACAACATAGACGTTAAAGCAGCCGGTGAGCTCGGCATCGCCGTGTGCAACGTACCCGGTTATGGTGTCGAAGAGGTCGCCGACACCGCTCTCTGTCTCATACTAAACCTATACAGACGCACTTATTGGCTAGCGAACCTTGTTCGAGAAGGAAAAAAATTCACAGGTATCACCTTTTACTTCCTATACTATCTTTCTTATACATACTAAAAAACCTACTCTAAGTATTCAATTATTTCAAGAATCTTGTTTCAAATCATTTCTACGATAGGATTTATTTCATCAAATACTTGAAATTGATTTGAAGAGATATCTTTTATATTACTTTTTACTGTTATAGCATTAGTTCTTTTTTGTATGATTCAAATTTGTAAACAATGGAAACTACATTCTTTTTAAAATATTAAAATATTTAGATTTTATAATTTCTTTATAAAATTTAGGTCCAGAACAAGTAAGAGAAGCAGCACAAGGATGCGCGAGGATACGAGGTGACACCCTCGGCATAGTCGGTTTGGGTCGAATCGGATCGGCGGTCGCGCTGCGCGCCAAAGCTTTCGGTTTCAACGTCATTTTTTACGATCCTTATTTGCCTGACGGTATCGAAAAAAGTCTTGGACTGACGCGCGTCTACACGCTGCAGGACCTCCTCTTCCAGTCGGACTGCGTGACTCTGCATTGCACCCTCAATGAGCACAACCACCACTTGATCAACGAGTTCACCATCAAGCAGATGCGGCCCGGTGCGTTTCTGGTAAACACGGCGCGCGGTGGCCTCGTCGATGACGATGCTTTAGCTACCGCGCTGAAACAGGGTCGAATCCGGGCCGCGGCCCTCGATGTCCACGAGAACGAACCGTACAACGTCTTTACGGGGCCGCTCAAGGAGGCGCCGAATCTTTTATGCACGCCACACGCTGCTTATTATAGCGACGCATCCGCTACTGAGCTACGAGAAATGGCCGCTTCGGAAATTCGACGTGCTATCACCGGAAGGATTCCGGATGTTTTACGAAACTGCGTCAACAAGGAGTATTTTATGGGATCTTACTCTGAAGGTACAGGTAATAGATTATATTTTTATGGTGAAGGAATACTAAAATCTAATGCTTAATATGGTGTTTTGGATAATTTTGGGAAATTAAGATAGATTTTGAAACACTAATGTTTATTTTTATTTGTTGTTTAGTGTCACCTGCGACCGGTGTAAATGGTGGTTATTACCAAGGAGGAGCGCTACCCGTCCAACAGGCGCACTCGACAACGACGCACGAGGTTCCACAGCACGCCGTGCCACCGAACGCAGCGCCGCCGACGCCGCAGCCGCAGCCACCCACAGGGCCAGTGCTCCCGCCTCACACTTTAGTGAGTAAACTAAAGACACTTGCATCTTCAACGTAGAGAAAAACCACTTTGGGTTTTTTATTATATAAAGTCAAACTTAGTACTCGAAGGATAACGCTTTCAATTTCTTTTACTAACACTTTATCAACACTTTATTATTTTACTATGCATATATAAAGATATAAAGTTAAGTTTTAACCTAGGTTTTACGACCTGACAACATGTTACAAAATCATTATTATCAGTGTTCAAAGTTTATTATAGACTTAATAAAGTGGTCACTCAATTAAATTAATACTTAACGATAAGGTTAAGTAGCAACATGCTTTGCGCATAATTAACATTACCATAAGACGTGTGTGAAAGTTCTGTTTTGCAATTGTAACGGCATTTCTAATTCCCTTCGAGTTTTATTTTTAACTCGCTTACGTAACGCTATGTAGCGAACATAAATATGTGACAAGTGTATTTTATTTGCTATTTTAATCGATAAGATGAGTTGAGTAAGATCAATAATAATTGAAAGCTAACTTTGAAATTTATCATGCGTGTACGGTTTGTTTAAATGTAGTATCTAGTTGGTTTTAAGCGTGTTTAACGTATATTTGAAAGTAGAAATTATTTATTTTCTTTCTAATTGGTAGCTTGAGAATCTGTAATTTTGTCTTTATTCCCCTTTATACTTAGATCTTGTATAGGATTTTCAAAGACTGAAATTAATAATTTATTGATGTTTATAATAATATGCAATGATGTAAATATGAATTTTAAATGTAGTGTAAGATGGTGTAAAAGAAATTGTATCGAAAAATAATCCTAAATGTTTTAACTAATTAATGCTGTATACAATATTCATCAAAAATTTAAGAAAAGTTATACTATTTTGGTTGTACATCAGCTTCAGTAATTAGTAGCATATTCCCATTAAGAAACTAATGGCTTTCTTGCCTTGATGCATAAGTAACTAATTGGAATTTAAACCTGTAAGTTGCAGACATTGATTTAAAAAGAATTTCGTTCAAATGATACTCATCCTTTATTTATAAGAAAGGAGCGCTGACGTAGCGGAAAACACTTTCCGCCATTAATTTTCATCGGGATTGCTTGAAGATTGTCGTGTACAGGTTGCAAACGGTCTCTTGGCATTTAATTTTCCTAAAACTTTAGATATGTCTCATCCAGTATATTTGCGGAACGACTAAAACTAACACTAAACCTGGAACTAGAAACAATCGGGTTTAGCCCAGCGTCTCTTAAGACGGCTAAACCCGAATGTTTCTAGTTTTAGGTTTAATATTAATTCTACTCTTAGTTCAAGAAAACTATGCAACAATCTAGTGCTGATTAACAATTAAAACTAGAACTAACACTAGACCTAGAACTAGAAAGTTTCGGGTTTAGCCGTGCGTCTTTAAACCCGAAACTTTCTAGTTCTAGTGTTAGTTCTAGTTTTATTTCAATAAACAATATATACATCAATCTAACAATGACTAACAACTGAAACTAGAACTAACACCAGCACTAGAATTAACACTATACCTAAAACTAGAACCATTCGAGTTTAGCCGTCTTAAGAGACGCAAGGCTAAACCCGAATGTTTCTAGTTCGAGATCTAGTATTAGTTCTATAACGAGATTATTAGAATTGTTGTTATTACTTGTTAACAATATCGAATGTTAGTTGTGGCGGCTCACTTAATTCATTTAAATATTGTCATTTAAAAAAGCTCTGCGCAAAATAAAGAATACATAGAAATATGGCCAAAATATATGTCGTAATTTGATTCTGAACTAACGAAAAGTAAACAAAAAGTCAAAGTACGAATATTATAAGTAGTAGTGATTTCTTTTACGCCATCTTGTATATCAATTTCAAATCATTTTTCTTTCTTTAATTTACTGTATGTTTTGTTTTCTTCTTTTATTTGTTGTCCCAAAAAAAAAGGGGAATGACGATTTTTGATAAAATAATTAACTTCATTAATTTAAGTTATCATTATTGTTACAAATTCAATAACAAAATGGGTTTCATGTAATAATTAATCTTGCGTTTTAGTGTTTATGTTGATGAATTTCTCTCTATAAATAATATGAAACGGACATTAATAATTAGACACGAGATAAAATTATTACTTGAAACTTTATCATCATAATTATATAATTCGTTGCATGATACCCGAAATTTAAATTTAATTTCCTTTTAGTTTTGTTTTATTATTTTTCATTTCTTTGTACAATATACAGTGTGTCCGTAAAGTAGGGGATATAGGCGTAGGCGGAGGAGTAGGCGATAAAAGCATTATAAACGGTTTATGGAGAAATCCATAAAAAGATTTAAATTTTTTGGAAGGTTTTAAATTTTTAAAAACGTCATCGTTATTTATTTCAAATAACATCCATTTTACAGAATTTAGTACAGTTAATATTAATATTGACTACATAAGAAAATGTTCGAAAAAAATTTCTTTAAAGCTTAATTACTTCAAACTTGCTTGAAATGATAACATTTCCGAAGTTTCAAAAACTGATTAAGTAATCAGTTTTTGTTTTTGTTTTTTACTTTTGTTGTTTCTTAAAGCAATTATTTAATTTAAACTATTATTACATCATTTTTGTGTTAATTGTTGTTTATTTGTTAATTATTTACTATTTTTATTTGTTTTCGCTGTTAATTTATTAGAATGGTAAATTTGTCCGAGCGGGAAAGAATAGATGTATGATTGGAGTTGGGGGTCGAACTTGAACTCAAAAGGAAATAGTTGACCTCTTCAATGCAACATATTTATCTTGATCGCCGACTCATTAGCCAAAGTATGGTAAGCCGAGTTGTGACTAAATTTAACCAGGCGGGTTTCGTGTATGTAATTATTACTTAAACAGGCGTGCTGGGTACTTTTTTTTACCCATTTGACGTATATGGACAATTAGGATCATGAACAAATTGTTTTAAAACATGTTCTCTGCGTATAAATTTATATCTTTCTAACTGGGTTTTAGTTTGGTAATCTTTTCCAGATGAACACTTTTGGACGTTTTGGTGGTATCTCTTCTTCAACCTCATCATTTGAACATATTAATTGTAAACGCGTATTTACGTCCCATTTATTGCTACGATGTTTAACATACCAAAGAATATGGCAAGAGGCTATCGGCACGATTTTCTAGAAACTGAATATGTTTCACATAATGCATCTACCGTATCAACCTTTCGTTGAATTATAAAATAATATCACTTTCGATTTCTTTTTTTATTGAATTGCTGTCAACATTTGTTGTTGCATGCATAGTGGAACCTAAAAGAACTACTCTACCTTTCTTAGGTATGTCAGAAAGTAACATTTTACTTTTTTGGGTGCTAAATAATGTTGTGTATTGTTCTTTCCATTTCGTAGTCACAAATTCATTCGGAATTTCGCGTTTATTTTTGTGATATGTGCCAATACACGTAATTTTGTGTCTTACTAATAAAGTGTCAATCATGGTTTAATCAATGGTTTCAAAACGTTTTATCAATGGTTTCACAAGACGTTGTGTAATGGAAACTGGATCGTTATTTGTGACTGCTTTCCTGCGTAAACTTCAAAGTAAATCGTATAATAATTTTAAGCATCACAAAACAAAAATATTTTAACTCTATAACGAGCAGATTTGCTCTTCATGGTTTTAATTTTTCTTTTATCGTTGCGTATTCTCCTATTACATATGATTTTTGCTTATTTTCCTGTAATCTTGAAAGATCTCGGAACAGTCCCCATTTATCAATCTTTCTTCTTTCAGTGTAATCTCTCACATCATCAACGAAGACACCTTAACAGAAACAAAAGTCTCTTCTTGACATATAGGAAATGAAGAGATCTATTTTTCCGAACTATCTTTTGACCATAAATCATTCGTATTTAGATGTGCTGATTTAATTACTCCTGTGTAATATAACAATCGTCACGTTCTCGTAAAAATTGTATGCGAATTTTTCCTATATACAGGATGTTTCTCTTAAAACTTCCAGGCCAAGTATCTCCGGAATGGGTTGAGATATCTTAGTTTTGTAAGAAGTTGTTGTTAGAGTACTTAAATGACTTCACTTCTTAAGTATTGTTATTATTTGTTGTACAAAAATAAAGATGGCACTCTAGTCAAAAGGAACTTTTTCTTCAAACAACCAAACTTAATATGTTTGTTAGTGATGCAATTCCAAGCCTGAAGGATTTTTTTGCGTATCCTTTAGGTTCAGGTCTATTGGATACTAAATTATAACTCTTAGTTTTACATTTTTGGGAGAAACATCTCTTTTCCATTGGATACTATCACGTCCATGATAGTAACAACATATATAAGACACCTTTCATCTTGTTCGCTGGCTATATTATAATCATCTTCAATAATACAATCGTTTTCTGAATCAGAATCATATTCCATTTCTTCATTCGATCAATGATCGATATTGATGTCCTGGCCTTGGATCCATTATTGCACTAAATAATTGTCTTTGGTTACAAAAAACTGTTTTTATACAACGATTGAGAATTTTCTTAAGCGATCAATCTCGTGTTGCAGTTTTAAAGTGATTCTTGTAACTGTAGAGAATAACAACGTTCTAAATATACAAAAAGGCAATAAAACAAGGTCCGAGGAAGGTGCAAAGAATCCTAACATGCTAGTTACAATCGATAGTTATACGCGCGCGTCCTTGTACGAGATTTCTCGAAGTCTGGCCGACCAAATGTTTCAGGGAAAGTTCAACAAAACATGGTTTTAGATGTGCAAAAAAAATGTAAATCAACTGTTCCTCATTAACGAGTTTAATAAAGATGATTTTGATAGAAGAGCGCAATTTTGTGAGGAATTACAACAATTTTGCAACTACGGCGATGGTGTCTTGGTCAAAAACATGATTTTTCCAATGAGGCAACATTTACATTGAGAGAAAAAGTAAATAGACAAAATTGTCGGTACTGGGTCCTTACTTTTTTGAGGGAACCTTATAACTCGAAAGAGATATTTAGATTTTTCACAATGCCTGAGGAATGAGATCGATTCCTTAGGAATTGAGTTGACCCAACTCAATTTCAACGGCAGTTATTTCCCCAACGAGATGACGCACCACCACACTTTGTCGTTCCTGTTCGAGTTAGTTGAACCAATTATTTCCCAATCGATGGATTAGGAGAAAAGAGTTAATTGAGTGGCCTGCAAGGTCATCAGATTTGATAAATCAAGTACTTTGGATGAACTAAAAACTCGAATCCGAGAAGAATAAGCATAACTCCTGATATATTAGGAAAAATTTGAACATTTAACTTAATTTTAATTGATTTTTAACGATTTTTACTCATTACGACTGCTACTTTTATCATTTCAAGCAAATTTGAAGTAATTATATTGACTGTACTAAATTCAGAAAAATATCATATTCTGTAATAAAAATGGGAGTTGCTATTTAAAAAAATATCGATAACGTCATAACTCGTTTAAAAATGGGGGGAAAATTTTAAAATCTAGGGATTGTTCCATAAACCGTTTATAATGATTTTATCGTCTATATCCCCTACTTTACGAACGCACTGTATACCTAAAAATCCCTGTTATTATTTTCCAAACCTTTTTAATATTTGTTGTATTTATCGTTGTTGCATAAAACATACTCTTTTTTGTTTTTCATTTCTTCTAGAAAAGTCATTGAAAATTCACTTAAGCTAGCTAGACCTACTAATGTAGTAAGTAAGTGAAACGATGCCAGTAAGTAAGGGGCAATAAGTGGCTTATCTAACTGTTCTTTATTTTCAGCCGTTGAGCAATCCGGACCCGACCAACCACCACGCGCCGAAACCAGAGCCGTCGGAGGTGCACTAACACCGTCGGTAGTAAGGTTTAGAGCGAGGGACGCATGCAGATTGAGAGAGTTACAACATAAAACAACAATGAACATCCACAACAACAACAACACACTTAAAATTGGGCTGGACATCGCACGTACGCGAGAAACAGAGGAAAAAAATCGTCTATAACTATATATATATATTCATTGCGTTTGTTTGTTTCTTATGTCTTCTTGAGGTATACATATCGTCGAATTGGATGGATATAAAAAACGTTTTTACATCACATTTTTTTTAATTTTGATTCACACATTTTTTTTTAAATTTTATTTCTTTACCCCCTTATTACTTTCTACTCTTTTTTTTGTTCTCGACTCGTTTGAGAGTACGTTTCATTCTGAAATCTTTTCAGGTTGATTTATATTCGAAGTTTTCTATAGTGTAATAATTGATAAGGCTCTTTTTTATTTAGTATTTTTTTTATTAATTGAGCGTATTTTAAGTATTGGTTTTTGTATATCATAGAATACTTCCGCCGAAATAATTGTACATATAATTATTTTTTTTTCAGTCCAATCTTACTGTGTATTTTGTTTTAATTTCGACTTATTATAGAAGAAAAAATATGAAAATGTGATGTCAGTTTATAAATATAATATTTATATAGAAGAGAATCAAAATAGAAGGTTTCAAAATGAAACGGATCTTAGTTTGTATAAAGGTTAATTAAAAAAACGCATATTGGTCACAATATCGAAACGAAAAAACACAATCCACATTGTATTTTGTAAAGATGAGAGAGGAAACAATATACATGCTTTTTTCTTGTATTCTGTAGACGAGTATCAGTGCGTTAAATTTCATAAATAAGTAACTCGTAGAATATTTTTTTATTTACTTTTTTTGTTTTCAATTAATTTTCTTTTAATGTTTCATAACGCGGGCACATCTCTGTTTCAACTTAATTGTTTATAAATCTTTATAATTTCTTCTTTTCATAGATGTAATTTTTTTATAAAGAGATATATATTTTTTTTATATAAAATTGACGAAACAATTAAGTTGTTGTGAAATGCCCAAAACTCAATTAATTTTATCATCTCTCGCTTGTTTACGCTATATTGTTGTTCAAGTGTAATTTGTTTATGAAATTTGCTCTGGTATTTAGATTATAAGGATTAACAGAAAAAGGATTTTTCATGGAGACAAAACCCAGTAATTATAAATACGGGACGGGGAATTCGCGCTGCGCCCCTCTCCCGTTCGTAATCGTTTTTATTTTTTTTATTATGAGTTTTCGTTTTCTTTTGCTCCCGTTTTTTTTTCTGCTCCGTCATGCAAAATCCTTGGGTTGTCATTATCTAAGAATTTCTAATAAATAAGTGCATTATTTTGATGGTTAGACATGTTGCGGTATTTTTTATATAAACATTTCTCCTCGCCATTTTTGTGAATACTTAAAAAATAAACATTCAACATATTAATAAAAAAGTTATAGTAACGAAGTTAAAGAAATATTTTATACAAAGATATGGATGGCGTTCCGAAAATATGGTGTTTCGTTCTATTTTTTAATCTTAAGGTTTACAAGAATTGAGTCTGTTTATTTAGAAAATGCTGCTGAAGGTTAAAAATTTTAAAAAAATAAAAATAAATACCATGCGAGTGTATGAGTGACAAATAGCCCAGAACGTTTTTATGTTAAAATTTAAATTATAGGATAACAAATGACTATTATATATATATGAGATATATATATACATATATATTATATATACGGAAACAAAAAAAAACAGAAAAAAATGAACTTTGGTTTTACTACTGTTGCTGCGAAACAAGTTGTGTTCGTTTCAAGGTGAAAATTAAATGTTTTTTATGGATACAAAGCAATGAAGTGCGGTGAAGTGCGCGATATATTTTTTCTTTTCATATAAGAGAAGTAGAATTTTTAGTAAATTAGGTGATATAATTGTGACTACTAATGTCAGTGATGATATGGTTATGTTTGATACTCGATCGTCACTCATCGTTCCGCCACAAACAACATTTCTCCCAATATTTAATCAAAATCCGACGATTGCCTTAAACAAAAATAACATTTTAAAACCCATTTCTTAAAAAAAAAACATTCCATCCGTTCGCACATTGCTTCTCCAATTATTATTGTAATTAATTTTTTTTAAATCGCTTTGGTGTATTATTTTTGACCAAAAAAAAGTAAATAGTAACAATAATTATATATTTTTATAGAAAAGATTGATGAAAAATACCTAGGAGAAAGATTAAGAATAAAAAAATTGAAAAATAACGCATCAAAGTGACTCAAAAATTTTTACCCCCAAAATGATATCTCAAAAACTATGTAAATATCAATATTCTTAGATGGAAAAGAAAGGATAATATTTTTTAAGGAGAAACGGAGGAACGACGAGTCGACGACACCTTTCAATAACCCACCATAGAATCAGTATGTCAAAACAGAAGTTGTAGGGCTATTGGACTTCCACAAAAATTTTGAAATAAATACCTTAAAAGTAAAAAAAATTGAAGTATATTTTTCTTTTTCATCCTATTCTTCCTAATATTAAATTATTCTAAATTATTCCTATTCTCATATCTCAATTAATATTCCTTTCTTTTTCAGTGAAATTAAGCTATGTATGTAAACTATAAAACTCGCGACGCTGTGTATCAATATGTCAAAGTCATTAAGAAACATCATTTTTCAAGGAATAATCAATTCTTCATAAATTGCTTTCTGAAATAACGCAATTCTTTGACTAATTTTAATGGCAACCGTTCCTGATGGTACAGAAAAGAAAGATCGCCCTGATAATCCGCCTGAAGAACCTTACCACATGACAGAAGAAATCTTAAGAGAAAGGGCTAAATCTGAAAGTGGCGGTCGTTATTCTACACAACTTTATGCTGGCATTGTAGGTAAATAACTTTTTCGACAATTCAATCATAATTTTTAATTTTGATAATCAACAAATCTTCATTTTTTGTATTAAGACACTTTTATATTAACACCTTTGTTATTCTGCATCTGTAATAAGAATGCGTGGAATCACAGTCAACTAAGTTTCTAGAGTTGGCATTATAATGATTTCATAATCTTTTTTGAAATGTTCTACACCACACCAAACACTGCCCAATTGTTTAGATATGAACTACACACCAAAATATGACAATTTCCATAATACAGTAAATATAAGGGATTGATTTTTGAACTTTTATCTTAAAAAAGTCTACATCTTATTATTTGGCTGCATTGATCCATAACTTTTTTCTCAACTGAATAACAGTGAATAAAACTAGTACATCTGAAAGAGAATTTAATTTTATGTAAAGGAGATACTCTTAAGGGTGTTGTTGGATTCTTTATTTCTTGATTTTCCTATGTTATATCATTATATCGTCTGCATAGATAAGATCCAAGGTCTTTATCACTATTAGTCTGGGGTAAGTAATTGTGGACAATCTTTTTTGTTTCACATTAAATCCATGAATATTACAGATAATAGTAGGCTTAGGCTGTCTACTTGTTTCATACCTTTCTCCATAAATCCAGTTAGACAAGTACTCTCTCGCCGTTAATATTTTATGTGCACTTAAAAAAATCTTTAATGAAGAACTTGATGCTGTAAATGAGAACATCCTCTTGAACGGAGTCAAAATAAATAATATTAGATATGGAGATGATACTACAGTGATGGCAGATAGCATAGAGGGATTACAAACATAAGTAGACCAAATCACATACTACAGTCAGCAATATGAACTTAATGTCAATGTCCAAAAAACAAAACATGATAACACTAGTTTACAAATTTTAATCAATTTTTTTCTCGAAAACTGCGATATATAACGAAGAATGTTGTGCTGATTCTGAAACTGTCTTCAGTTTTTCTCCAAAACTCAGCATATTCCCCGAAACAAAAGTAAGAGATCTAAGATGCTATGTCTTTTCCACACTGTTAGACCGGATGGAATCCTGGACCTTGACAGAAGCCGGAACTAAAAAACTGGAAGTCTTTGAGATGTGGCTGTATGGACGCAGAAAACTCGAGAACCTGGGACATGTCATGATATTCATTGCTCCAATTCATAATGCAAGGAGAGAATAAAAGAAGAATCTCATGGCTGCGTAAGCTAAAACTTGGTTTAGGAAAACCTCAGTAGAATTGTCCAGCTGCTATCAACAAAATCGGAATTATCAACATGATTGCCAACATTCGAATGGGATAAGTATCTAAAGAAGAATAAAGCCTGACACAGCCTTTTACTTTATTATATTCATTTTTAATTGTTCTTTATAATTTTTGGCTTATGTTTAACGCTCTCATTTCTTCTTTTACTACCGAATCAAAGGCTGCTGTTAAGCTGTTATCCTTATCAATTTCTTTTATATTTATTTCTGGAGGGTTTCTTTTATATTTATTTCGTCTTCTACTACCTCCACATCTTGTATCTCGGCCTCTTCATCTTCCTCTCATTCTTTATTACCATGTATCGTTTGTGCCCATCCTTGTTTTTTAAATTTTGTCCGGTAATGTTGAATCCATTCCATTAATTTTTTTTAATATTTTTAGAACGCCATTTTGAGCTGTAATATTCCTTATCCATTTTCTTTCGCTTTCTTTTAATCTCTTAATTTTATTCCAAAATTTCTTCTCATTACCTGCGTTAACTTCTCCGTTTTTTTGCCAAATTTTTTTCAAGAATCTGTTTTGCTTGCTTCATGATTGCTTCTTCCATAATATTCTTTAGTTTGTTTTATTCTATTTTGTATCGTTTCTGCCTCTATTCTTTCACTGTGTCGTTTCACCACTTTGTTCGTTTTTACTTATACAGGGTGTCACTAAAATCCGGTACCACGGTATTTCTGTTGAAAAAACAGAACGGAAGCACATAGAAACATGAAATTTGGCTTAAATTTTATTGAAACATTAACAAACAATAATGTACAATCAAAGTTCGAAGTACCCACTCTTTGCCTTCACACAGGCCCACAAACCTTTGGAGAACGCAGCCACCGTGGCGGAGAGATACTCGACATCGAGATTGTCTCATTACTTTTGAAGGGCGCTCTTCAGACTGTCAAGATTCTGGTGGGAAGGAGCATACTTAGAAGTCAAGGGGGGTTAAATCAGGTTGGAAAATTGGTCCGGCACCATTGCTGAATCACCTCAGCTTTGTGTGCGGGCGCAAAGTCCTGTTAGAATTGCGTCCGTTGAAGTGAGACTGGCTGAAAGTGTGAGTCTTGCATCTTGATGCTGAGTAGCCTCAAACATGTTTGACAATCCTGTGTTCAGATTTACGGCTGATATTCATCCATTTTTTGAAGCTCTTCTTGGAATTTTGGCAAACCTGGTCCCGGACACGCTTGATTATGGTGGGAGTCAAGGTCGTCTTTGGTCTTCCACTTCTGGCATTGGATGTCTATGGGAAACTCCTGTGATTTTGCCGATCTTCTTTTGAGTAACCCCGGCCTGGCTTAGCCTGAAAATCGTGGCACGGTCTACATCGAACACCATTTCCTGAAACGCATAAACCAATCCTTTAAATTTTTGGAGGATTTGGATTCATAAAATCATCATAAAATTGAGCTCCTGGACTTTAGTGACACTATATTAACAGTTTATGTTCCACATTTTCATATATGTTCCAATCTTACCTATTTTTGTTCTAATGTATTTAGATTATCTGTGAACTTCTTTTGGTACTTTTCCTGTTTCTTGGTCTTCTCTAAGTCTTTCATCCTAAATCATCTATTTTTTTTGGGAGATTTATTTTTTTGGTTATCTAAATGTTGTATCAATTATTAATAATTTATAATCTGTATTTAAGTGTACTCCTCTAATAACTTTAATATTTGTAATGCTTATCTTCTTGATCTAGTGTATCTTTCTTCAGGTTCATACGTTATCTTGTGTATTGTTGTATGATTGCAGAAGGAGTTGTTTTGAGCAATCCAATCTCTTATTATCATTATATATTTCATTTTATTTTACATTTTTTTCATTGCCAAATGGAATTTTGGTAAAATTTGTTGCATGTACGTCTTCCATTATGGCGTATATCTGTATTAGTCTTCTTTTTCTAACAATTCTAGGCTTATGGGAATAATTCTGCAATTTATTCCGAAATTTCTGCGTATGTTAATGTATGTCAATTCAAATTACACAGTGCAATAGTGATATGTGCTTCCTGACTTATCTATATTATTAATTTTATTAGACAAAAACATTCCAAACATGTACTATCACAAACTATTTTATTTTTTTTATTTTTCAGCATCTGTATCATCAATATCATTTGGTACAGTAATAGGTTGGTCAAGTCCAGCAATACGAGTCTCAATTGAATCAACACGTGCAGTATCAGAGACGCATTTACAAAATACTGATATGGATATAGGAACAATCGCAAGTTTGGGTCCGTTAGGATGTTCATTAGGAGTATTGGTTTGGTCTTATTTTAATTTAAAAATAGGACCGAAAAGAACCATGGTATTGCAATCCCCGTTGCTTTTCGTGACCTGGATTAGTATCGCTTTGGCACGAACTATAGAAATCGCGGTCTTCGGTCGGTTTCTTTGCGGTTTTTTAGCGATTTCTTACAAAGTTTGTGGTGAAACGTTGCTTGCTGACACCGTCCATCGAGTGCATCTTCGCCACATGGTGATTTCGTTTAGAGCTTGCATTTACCTCGGCGTTTTATTGTCTTACGTTTGCGGATACACTCTAAAGGATAAATATTTTTCGATTTTAAATTGTGTAATAGTAGCTATTCATTTTGTTATGTTACTTTTGTGCCCTGAAAGTCCGGTTTATTTATACGACGTAAATATTAAGCAAGCTGAAGAAGCTTTGAGTTGGTATCGTGGTAAGGAGAATATTTACATTGACATGAGAAATATTAAGAGAGATTCGGAAATAAGAAAGGTTGATCCGATCGCTTATAAATATATGATGTGCTCGAAAGTTGTTATAAAAGCGCTTTTTATGATTATTGGTGTTAATACGACGGGGGTTATTTCTGGTTATTATATTTTTTTGTATTATAATCCGGCGATGGTTAAAAAACTTTCAGAAGATCAAGTAACAACAATCAAACAAGCAGAATTGGATAGTAAAATTGATGTTATATCAAAAGAATGGGATGCTATTATGTTGGGATTACAACTGTTTCTTTGCTCCTTAATAAGTACTTGGGCACATTACAATATTTCTTTCGGAATTAAAAAACCGTTAATTACAAGCTGCGTTTTAGTATCAACCATTTTGGCTTTATTCGCTGCTTATCACTTTTTAAGGGATGAAAAAATTTCTTATGTTGTCAAAAACAATTGGCCATATACCGTTTTAGTTCATCTTTTGATTATTTCCTATGAAATTGGTTTGAGTCAATGTTCGGATATCATGCTCATCAATTATTTGCCTAGTCAAGTTTATCCAAGGGCCAAATTGATTACGAGATTTGTTCAATGGACTCTTTGTTTCGTTCTTACAAGAAGTTATTTCTTTTTCACCAATGAAATTGGGGGAGCGTGGACTTGGACGATGTATTTTATTTTATCATTGATCGCACTACTATTTCTATCAATTCATGTCGTGGAAAGTAAGGGAAAAACGTTGGTTAAAATTCAAACGGAAATCGGTGGAAATCCTATTGGAAGCAGAGGGGCTGCTTATAAAAAAAGATCCGATAATACTCGCGGTAAAAGCAATAATCAAATTCCTACTTAATCAAATCCGAAGATTTTTAATTTACGTATTCCATCGGTTTTTATGTAATAAATTATTAGTTTATTGAAAAATGTCAAAGTATCAAGATTTGTCAAGCTTATTTTATAGACACCTGTATATTATTTTGTAATACAGATTCATTAGTATTTAATGTTATTATTAGATGGCGCTCATATTAAATAAAAAATTTCTTTATATGTTTATAAATAAATAATGCAATTTTTTACTAACACCGATTATTTTTATCGATAATAAAGTTAATTTAATAACAAATTGTATTAAATTAAAACAACTTTAATTTTAAAAATTGTGGGGGACGTTCGCTTAGTTGTAAATGTCATCGCCAGATGGCCTTACAACTGTCAAAATAAATAGTCTCATCGTTTTGGTGCGTTCAGTCAGTGCAATGGCGAGGATTATGCCGTTGAAGAACGTTATTTACACGTGAATAAGTGCCACAAAAAGACGGATTTTATTTTATTGTTAAAAAAATGACTATTTGGCAATCGGTTCCAGACGAAAATAGTTACGGCGTCGGTAAGTAAAAGTATAATAATTAAAATCCATTTTTACATGCTAGTAAGCGTTCCCCCCAAAAAGGACCACTTGTTGATTCATCTCCCGCATCGTTTCTCTCCCTAACAATTTACAATTAGCAATTACGTAACATTTAAATTGAAAACGAGAGAGAAAAATTCACTTCGCAAAAAGTATGTTGTGTTGAAGTGAAAATTGGAAAAAAATAATAAAAATTGGATGTTGCAGTAGATAGCCCCTCCCACTTGTTATCACAGTTTTACGTTGAATTGCCGAGGAAAAAATTGTGATTCACACTTCTCTAGTTCAATGGAGTATTACTTAGTGTACTTGAATCTGTCATTTAAATCCAATAGGTTTTAATTGTACCTAATTGGTCACGGTGTTTGTAACCTTAAAGTAGCAAAGAATAATTTTCCTCTCTCTCTATAATTCCTAATATACATATTTACATAATTGTATCTCCTATCTAATATGTAAAAAAATTGGAAATATAGATGTTTTTTTTGTTGCTTAAGTCTTATTCTATGCTCAATTAAAAGTAGAGGATAAATTTAACATATTGAGTGAGGATTATAAAGATATGTTCTCCAGTCAATGTGTTAAGTAGCCTATGTTTTTTTTTTGGTATTTATAGCAAAGAAATTAAGATTGAAGATGAAAACTGCTCACAAAAAGACCAGGTAGACTTGTATGTACAGGCTGGACCAAATTGAACACTTTTATAGAGGAAAAAAAATGATATCAGTATCTAAGGCTCGATTTTTGTACGAAACTTAATGGCGAAAACGGCATATCGGTTTCAGAGGTGTTTTTCAAAAAAGTGCATTTTCGAAAAGGCGTCATAACTTTTTTCTTATTGATAAATCTTCCTTTCTGTGAAAACATTTCCAAAGCAACTTTGTATGTAGAATTCCATGGAATAAGTTAGCTTTCCCTCAAAGCAATATTTTAGCAGTTATTGACATAAAAATGATTTTTTTAAATGGAACACCCTATATATTTTTGCAAATTCAACGAGAGCATAAAGTTTCCTTTCCAAAAATATAGCACACTTGATATTTCGTTCAAGTCTTCTTTGAAATATACAACTTTAAATCTTATTTGTGCAGATTTTGAAAAAGTAGGCTTTGGAAATAAAAGATAAACGGTATTATATTTATAAGTAGTATCAAGATACTTGGTTACAATGAATTAAAATATAAATTCATAAAGAAGACGCAGATTAATAAAACATGAATAAATATGGCAACAAATAACAACAAAAGTAAACCCCTTTTCTATAGAAAATGTTCAAAGTGTCCCCAAAATGATTTATGTTATACACAGTCGACATCTTTTTTTAACACTTTTTGCCGAGTTTCTCAATGGGGCTAAGTGTTGCAAAAGTGTTCACAACTGCGGCTTCTAATTGCTGTCGGGAATTTATTGGCTGTTTATAGAAAACATCTTTCAATCTTCCTCAAAGGAAAAAATCCAAAGGTGTTAGGTCCGGTGACCGAGCCGGCCAACGAATAGAACCTTGATTACCTAAGCACCAATCACCAAAAGCTGCGGTCAAAAAATTGGTGACAATAGCAGCATTGTGTGCACCATCATGTTGAAAAAATAAATAATCGTCAACAATAGGTTCGATTTCTTGCCTAAATATGTCCAAATATTATTTATACATACGCTTCATCTGTCCAAATACAATTTAAAGAAAAATTGCGAGCTTCGTCACATTTTCTGTTGTGGACGTCACGTAGTGGACTTTGCTTGTTTTGTATGGCTTAAAATTCAGATTTAGAATTTTTATAAAATCCTCCTAGCTTTGGTTCTTGGAATTCCCGTGATTGTACTCAATTGCCGCGTTAATATCTGTGGATTATTTTCCACTGCCCCTAAAACTACTACTTATAAATATTAATATTATTAAAAGGTTGTCGTCTCTCTGGATATCGTTCATGATATAAATTTCCTGCAGTCTCTGCATTCTCTCCAGATTGTATAAAACAAACTATCATGTCCCATTTTTCATAATTTTTATATGACATTATTTTGAAAGTTGATGACTACTAAGTAATACTCTAACGATAAGCACTAATACTTACAACTTGAAGCTAAATTTGACTCTTAAATTTAGGCGCCGTCAAAGCCCACTAACCTACTATTATCGGATGCAAAAGTTTTTGCCCCTCACTTTGAACGCGAATAACAAAAAAACTACTCCGTAGAAAAAATCGAGACCACCTTTGTTGGACGCGAAATTTAATTGTTTATAATGTGTGGTGATTTCAAATTTTTTCTTCCACTCGTATAGCAATTGTCACAGGTATAATGAAAAAATGTACGCAATTTCGGACGATCGGCGAAGAAGCTCGACTTTGTGATTTTTTTACACGGGAACGGTTTATCGATCTAAATTTCGACCACACATTGCCTAAAGTGTACTAAACATGCCAGTGTTTTTATTTTTTGATTTTTCTGACCCATTATCAAAAAAAACTACATTATGTAAAGTAGTGACATCTCGATAACGCGTTATCGTATGAGATTGAGGTTAACATCATTCTGACCGCCTGATAAAATTGAATAAAACGCTAACCCTCATTGTACATGAAGTACTCAATGCGATTTTATCCATCGCATCCAGGTGGTCTCGATTTTTTCTACGGAGTAGTTTTTTTGTTATTCGCGTTCAAAGTGAGGGGCAAAAACTTTTGAATCCGATAATAGTACGCAAATGAAAATCTTAAGAGTTTCCAAGTTGTATATTTCAAAGAAGACTTGAACGAGATATCAAGTGTGCTATATTGTTGCAAACAAAAATTTTATGCTCTCGTCGAAAATATATAGGTTGTTACATTAAAAAAAATAATTTTTATTTCAATAACTACTAAAATATTGCTTTGAAGGAAAGCTAACATATTCCATCGAATTCTACATAAAAAGATGCTTTGGAAATGTTTTCACAAAAAGGAGTAATTACCAATAAGAAAAAAGTTATGACGACTTTTCGAAAATGCACTTTTTTCAAAAAAACATCCTGTATCTCTGAAACCGTAAGAGATGTCGATATGCGGTTTTCGCCATTAAGTTTCTTATAAAAATCGAGCCTTAGACGCTAATATCATTTTTCCTCTATCTCTTATGGAAAGAGGAGTTTCCCGTTAAAAGTGTCCAATTTGGCCCACCCTATACAGGGTCTGTCACGATGAGCTGAGTTTATTTTTCTGAAAATTTGTGTATAACATTTATTTTAAATGGAATGTATCGATTTTCATTGAATTTTTGAGATCCCCACTATGTTTTAACATAATTTGATATAAGTCATCATATGTCTAGAGTGCACCATTTTTGAATTATTTCAGTTTTTCCGAAAATTTTGGCAGATGCAATCCTTCATAATAAAAATAATTTTTAGAAATTACACTCGAGTCCGGTTAAATATTCTCAGGGTTTGCACAGAGAGGACCCATAGCTTACATAACCCTTGAAAAGTTTTTTGAAAAGTTATACAGGCTGGTCAGAAATTTGCGCCGAATTTCCCTATCTCGAAAAGTCGAAAACTTCATTTTTTTAAATGGCAACCCCAATTTTTACCTGCACCAGCGTATTGTACGCTGAAAAATAAGGAAACTTTGTCATTACATCCTTATATCTAAAATGTATGGTTTTCGTAGAAACTTGAAAAAAATGAAATTTTCTTGGTTATTAATCGAGAATAATTTCGCGGGTTTTCTGTGACGTAGGAAGTGCACAGTCTGAAATAAGTTAAATAATTAATTTGGAAGGAGTGCACTTCTTTTGATACCATATTCCAGATGACTTGATTTATATTTTCATTTTTTTGTATAATTCCGCCCACATAACGTTCCAACAAATAATTATAACTAAGGTGGTATTAACTAAGCTTGATTGCAGTAAGAACCACCTCGGGATTTGGTTTCTTGTTCCAGTTGATGCTGATTTTTAAGTTACTTCCTATTCTTTCTTACATCTTTTCCGAGTTCTTCAGTTGTTTGATTCACGAATTTATTCATTTTTCCATTTTTATAATTTTTCAGGTAATGACTAAGGTATTGTGTAAGGGATAATGTGAATTTCAATTCCAAAATGTACATACCTGTACCTCACCTACTTTTCGAAATATGGCATCTGTTAGGCGTTGCTCACGCAGTCAGTTACAAAACGTTATAACTTCATTACTGACAGTCAAAGAATAGTACCTACTTTCAAATCTTTTTGAAAAATCGATTTTGTAACCTACCCAAGTATGCGATAGCTTTTAAATTCCATCAAATGCTTCTTTGATTTTAACTTTGTGGTTAGCACTTGAACTAGCAATAATTTCTGAGTAACTAAGGAAAGAGTATATATGATATAATTGTCATTTTTGCAAATCAATTATAAATATTTGAAAAATTATATTTCATTAATAATTGTTAACCATATTTTAAATGTAGACTAAGTATTATACTATTGTAAATAAAATACACTACAAGAATCTTTGTGTTCAACACACTAATTTTTAGTAGTTGCAACGGATTCGTGATGAGTTATGCAAATGCAACTTGTACAAGATGTGTTGTTGATGTTAGCTTTTTATCAATAGCTTTAGGTGCAGACGACATCTTCCTTTGTTTCCAGTTGTTTGTTCTTGAACTGCCAAATTTTCAGGATTGGGTTGTGTTGCTTTCTTTGAAGAATCTTAATGATTTCAGGATTGATAATCACTGTCATGATCGCAAGAGAGAAAATTTTGCTCAATGCATCATTCTCCTTTTATTTGAAATGTATGATTTGGTCTTGATCTATTTCTTCTGTTCGTTCTCCTTCCTAGACTGCATCTAGAAGTGTTTGGAAGTAGTGTTTTCAGGTATACTTTATGCCCGGCTTGTCCTCTATTTGTCCCTCTTTATTTTTGCATAGGATTGTTCGAACCTTGTACATTTCGGTATGCATTTCGGATGTCTAATTTATTCCTCGTTTTCATTCTCATGTGGCAACAATGCTGGATTATCCAATATAGGCAATTGTTTAGGGCCCTAGGCTGGAGAGGCCTTAAATATTCAATTGTATCTAAAATGTTGTAAATTGTTCAACCCCTTTTTTTAGTCAAAGCGCGTATTTACATATTTTGACTGTAAGAGAGTTGAAGTGTTTTTTGGTCGTGACTTATGGCCACGTGCTCTAATTATCGCTAATCCAGCACTGTGTGGTAATAAACATAGATTTAATTTTCTTTAGAACTAACAAAACCTCACCTAAATCCTATGAACACCGCCCTAAGAAAATTGCTAAAAATAACTATATTTTGATAATTCAACGAAAATTGATTCATTTTTCCATTAATTATGATTATTTCGTTGTTAATTCATTAAAAAATTCAACATTTAATGTATTTCATTGAACTGATATCTAATACCTTATCTGTTTATTTCCAGTTAAAAAATTAAATATTAAAATGTTTTTTTTCTGATATATTTATTATTTATGATTACAATAAATCTACTATACTATAAATACTTGCAATGTAAAGAATTTCATTTCATACGACATTCTACGTGATCAGCGTTTAAATTAAAATAATAATACCGAACACATGCGTCATTGAATTTCTTTTTTCTTTCAATTAAATATTTATTTACAAATAAAATAAATAAACCAACCTTTCATTGAGGATTTTGCAAGAATTATTTTACAAATAGGTCATGACAACAACCTTCATTTACCTTTTTTGTATCTTTTTTTCCTTTTTTTTTTTCAATTAATGATGTTGTTTCTCATTTTTTTTTGTAATTTAATTAAAATTTTTAGCAATCTATAATTTTAATGGAGATGGGGAAAAAATGTGTTTAAAATGCGGCGACGCCGTGCATTTATTCGAAGAATGCAACGAATGGTATCGCGGTTGCCTCGTGTACGATCGAAAGGTAGTCGGAGTCTTTCCAAAGAGTTACATCCATCTGATCGAGTGCGAAATCGATCGGAGTTACAGCGATTTAATAGAAAGTATCGATGATATCCCAACGGTGCCGATATTTATTTTAAAACAACCCCCGATTGTACAAGAAATAACGATGGTTTTACGGGAATGGGAGACCCATTGGAAAAAACTTTACGTTACGCATAATGATAATTTCGAAAAAATCCAAAAACAAATTTACGAATTAATTAAGCATCGGAGTAAAATAGTTAGTGGGACTTTACCCATGGATGAATTAAGAAAAATTACTAAACAAGTCGCTACCGAAATCGATATGGGAAATAAATTACTAGAATTAGATATGGTTGTAAGGGATAAAAATGGAAATATTATTAACCCTGAAAAAACGAGCACAACTGAACTTTATTATCACCATAAGAATTCAACAGATCGGATGAATTCATCAAAAGTAATTTTAATCAAAAATCTTTCAATTTTATTTTACTACATTTTTTTTTTGTTTAGGATGAATATAGTACAAACATAACAAAGTCTTCAGCAGCACAAATCTCTCATATTTTTATAGTTTCCGTAAAAAATTTTACCTGCAAAATGACGGAGGACGCCGAACTCTTAATGACACTTTACGATGCTAAAGAAAATAAGGCTATAACAGAAAATTACGTCGTACGGTGGTCAAAAGATGGTTTAATGAGTGATATCGATCAAATGTATAATTTAAGAGTTATGTTTACGGTAATTTCTCAAAATCAAGTAATACAACGTGAGATAAAATGGCTTAAGGGGGGATCCCGGTCTATTTTTATACAAAACTGTTTAAAGTTATTTATACCAAGGTATCTCCTACATATTAGTACACATATTAAGCACCTATAAGAAGTGTTTTTATATCATTTTGTTTCAAAATACGTCTTTTACAATCGATTGTTGTTGCATTTGGCTATAATGGCATTTTAGAGAGATGAAATTTCTCTAAAAGAACTCTCAAAATGTCCATTATAGTCAAATGCAACAACAGTCGGTGCCGCAAATGGAAGGTATTAAGTATCAGATTGGTATCAGAGTAGGTAGGTTTATGGAAAGTATTTCGAAGGAGTCCGCAGGAAGAAAGATGTCTCTTGACTTTAAATTTCTCACCACAGGCAGAACGCAATTTGTGATAACTGATGAAACCATTTTTAGATGCCGTTCAGAGTCACTTGAAGATACGTAATCCAAAATAATAATCTTGTCAAGTATTTATTTATACCAAGGTATCTCCTAGATATTAGTACACATATTAAGCACCTATAAGAAGTGTTTTTATATCATTTTGTTTCAAAATACGTCTTTTACAACTGTGGCATCGATTGTTGTTGCATTTGGCTATTCTAGCATTTTAAAGAGATGAAATTTCTCTAAAAGAACTCTCATAACGTTCATTATAGCCAAATGAATCAGATTGGTATCAGATTAGGTAGGTTTATTAGGTAGGAAAGTATTTCAAAGGAGTTCGCAGAAAGAAAGATATCTCTTGACTTTAAATTTTCTCACCACAGGCAGAACGCAATTTGATGAAACCATTTGTGTGGAGGCCGTTCAGAGTCACTTGAAGATACGAAATCCAAAATAATTGTAAAAACTCCACTCAAAGGTTCGAATTTCGTCGGGCCCTCCAGTTTATATAAGGTATCTGTTTAAACTATAATAATTTAAGTAAGTGTATCAAGATTGTGTCAAATAGCTAACGCCATGACAATGAAGATAAAGAGCACGGAACTCCAAAGAAAAGACATCTATAAAGGTACGTGGCAGATTCCAGAAACAACCAGAACGAATCAAATTGATCATGTTCTCATAACAAAGAGACACACTTCATCGATAATACATGTGCGAATATGCAAAGAGGCAAACAACCACGAATACAAGAAAGAATACAAGCTGCAAACCGGTGCTATTATGCACATATAAAAATAAATGTTTAATTATAGGGAGCCAAACTAAAAATGTATAAGAACCTAGTTAGACGTGTTTTGACTTATGAAACAGAGTCCTGAAATTTGTGGATACAAACACAAACGCCCTTCGTGTCTTTGAGAGAAAAATACTCCGTAAAACAATCGGACCGGTGACAGAGGAGGAGGGAACGCGAAGAAGAATGAATTTTGGGCTCCAGGACGTAATAGGAGGTGAAGACGTCATACGGTTTATCAAATTGCAAAGGTTCAGGTGGGCTAAATATATTGTAAGGATGCCCAAGGAAAGAGCTAGGAGTATAATCTTCAAGACGAACATGACAGGTACAAGAAGCAGACCACGTGCGAGATGGAATCCAGAATTCTATTCCAATTCGTTAAAAATCGAAAGAACTGGAAGAGGATAGTGGAGAAAACCAAAGGCTACTGCTTGTAACTAAAAGAAGAAAGTTACCAATCACCAAAATGTTATGGGAGAAAAACGCCATTAAAGTTTTTATAACTTTTATGTAGTGGAAATTTTAAAATACATGTATTTATTATTAATTTGTTATTTCAGAAGGAGTTCATAAAGGGGTCCTTCTTACAGGCCGTACATATCAAGCAAGTAGCCTTTCTGTCTCTTTGATGCGTTCTTTGTATTTCTTGCGAAATATGGTAAGCGTATTCCTGCTCAGCTAATGCGGATTTCATAAATCATAAAGATTATAACAGCCAAAAATGTTGGACTTTCAATTATTCTTGCTTTACAATGAAATGTTTCAGAGTATAATATCTGCACCCAAGTGGGCTTTAATTTCTCTAAAACCTGTAAACTTCACGGTGGACTTTATGACGAAAACTGTGAAATATGCCGGCAGATTCGGCTTTACGTCACTTACACCAACTGCCTTACTCTTCTGGGTAGTTTGATGATGTGGCTTTTCATATGTGGAACCTTTATGATAGTACTCTGCCTAAATTTCTTCGTTCATATTTTCCACAGATTCGGCATGTCTTCGGATACTAAGCCACAGTATCTTGTTAGTTCATTGTACTTTCTGACAACAATTTTTTATACGAAAGTCAACAATATACAATGTGTTAAAAAATTCTCGTACTTTTTTTAGAAATTTCAACAGGCTATAACTACCACACAGATACAACAGATTCAAAAAATAAAAAAAACTTTATCAAAACAATAACAATAAATTTAATCAAAAAAATTACAACAAATGTTCAAAATTGCCTCAATTGCGTAATCTCTAATACACATTTTTACAGTAATCTAGTCTTAGGCGAGTATCAGAGCCGTTTTGAGCGCTTTTACGATGGCGTATTGTGTTCCTGAGAATTTTTGCTCTAAGATGGTCCAAATTGAGTAATCCATTGGATTGAAATCCGCCGAATTAGGAGGCCAAACGTCTTTGTCCCAAAAGCTTGGAAACAGCCTTACGCAAATGACGATTGTCGAATTGGCCGAATGTGACGGCGCTAAGTCTTGCTGAGAATCCTTCTTGAGTGTTTAGCCACCCACGGTTCCAGAACGTCTCGTAAAACTAATGGTTAATAGTTGACTGCGTTGATCTTGACATTCCGATGAAAACTAACGGCGTTTTCCTGGTGGTGTGCAGTGCCAGATGCTGCCCAAACCTTTACAGAAGCAGGGAAATGGCTGTGACCGTTGATTTTTTCAGCAACGGTCTTCTGGTGACCCTTCTGGAGTAGTTGATGTTGGTTCTGATGGTCGCGGAGCGGCTCGATCGTGAAAATTTTATCATCAGTGAAGACAACTTTTGATAAACGAGCATCAGCGATCAGGCGAATGAGCATACGTTTCATACACCGTATATCCCAAAATAATGCGAGTTTTTAAATATTCTTTCACAAACTTATTCTACAATGTATATAATTGCAAAAAAAATTGATTTTTTTGACCATTTAGACCGGAATCGCCCTTTAATCATTTTGCTTCATCTTGTATTTTTATTTTTACTTTTTATTTTTTTTAATAATTTGTAGGATTTAGGTAGAAAAGATTTAGAACGTGAGAAAATCTATTTTGTTTGTTACGTTGTACGAATAGGTGCTATGGAAGTAAAAGAACCTGACCGCAGAAGTTCGCAACAAAGTATTCCGGTTACTCGAAAAAATCCTTTCGAAATGCGTAGACCTTTCGGGGTAGCTGCCAAAGATATAACAAAATATATGAGCGGAACGTTAGAATGCGATTTAGACCAAGAACATTCAATCCCGTTTTACAATTGCGAACGTGACAATTTAGAACAAACTTTACGTAAGATAATAAATAAAGACACGAAAAACGAGTACAAACAACCGTGTTTATTTGTCAGTTATAAACTGTTACACGGTGACGTGAAACAAGTACGAGAAGAAAATCCACATTTGGTGTTAGGAACTGTTGCTGTAGCAAGAAAAATGGGATTTCCTGAAGTCATTTTACCCGGTGATGTTCGAAATGATTTGTATTTAACGATTGTTTCCGGGGATTTTCCTAAGGGTAATAAATCGAGAGACAAAAACGTTGAGGTCACGGTTATAGTTTGTAATGAAAAAGGAAAACCAATTCCGGGTGTTATTTTTTCCGGTGGTGGAATTCCGGCTTTAGATCAATACCAATCGGTTGTTTATTACCATGAAGATAAACCACAATGGCTGGAAACATTTAAAGTCGCTATACCAATAGACGAATTTAAAACTAGTCATTTAAAATTTACTTTTAAACATCGATCATCAACCGAATCTAAAGATCGCACTGAGAAACCGTTCGGATTATCTTATGTAAAATTAATGCAAAATGAAGGTACAACTTTACGTGATAATAAACATAACCTAGTCGTTTATAAGGTCGATCAAAAAAAGTATGAAAATATTAAAGATTCCATAGATTACCTTCAGTTACCTTCAACAAAAGAAGAATTAGATTTATCAAATAATAAATCACCAAGTGTTACTGGTTTATCTTTTAGCCCTAAAGAAAGTTTTATTATTTCAAGTAATATTTGTTCCACCAAGTTAACACAAAATGGTAATTAAATTAATTAATAAATAATTAAATTTAATCATTTATTTTTTTAGTTGATTTATTGGGGTTATTAAACTGGGTTAGCCATAAAAATAGTTTAAGATCATGTTTGCAAAGTTTAAAAGAAGTTATTTTAAAAAATGGTGAAGAAGTAGTTAAGTTTTTTCAGGACATTCTCGACGCTCTCTTCGACATTTTAATGGATAACACGGAAACAGATGAATATGATGAGCTAGTTTTTCAATGTTTATTATCAGTAATTGGTTTGGTGAGTAATGATTGGAAATATGCTCATTTTGAACCCGTTTTGGATCTTTATATTAAAGAAAGTTTTAGTGCCACTTTAGCTTATAAGTAAGTTTAAACACTTTTTTTCAACTAATTCCAATTAATAATTATTTAATTTGTTTTAGAAAATTAATGGGTGTTATTCAAACGTATATAAAAAATACTTTGGATAAAAATGAAGAACAAAAAGCTTTATTATTCAAAACGATGCGTTCATTACAGTACATAGTTAGGTTCATTGTTCGTTCAAGACTCTTGTACATCAAATTGAACCCAGATTTGAGCGAGGAAGACGATTTTGAGTCAATCCTTCGCGATCTTCTTGATAGTATCATTAGTCTGATGAATGAAGCTTCCAACTCTGTGCTGAAAGAGCAAGGCGCGTGTTTAAAATATTTGCCAAGTACAACGCCTGATATCTTACAAGTTTATGAACCAAGGAAATTAAGGTAACTTTTATTGGTAAATTGTTTAAAGATGTTTTTGTAATTTCTGTGTCTTTTTTAAAGTATTTTTTATTGTAACTTACTTAATACTATCCCAAACAACAAGTTGACAAAACAGAAGATGATGACCATCAATGAGCTGGTTCATAGTCAATTGTTCCAATATCCCGAATGTAGACGTGTACTTACACCGTATATTACAAAACAAATTAAGAAATTGATTGAACTTACAGAGGAGGTATTTAATTTATTGCATTTGAAAAAGAATTTTGTATATGTTGCTTTTTATTATTATTTTAATTTGTCTTTTTTAATGCGCAATTTATTTACGATTTAATTTACATTAAAATTGAAGTGAATCATTCCAAATTTAGTTTTTATTATGTTTGCAAATAAATTGTGTATTAATTAAGTATCTCAATTACAATATAGTAATATGTCTTAAAATAGCCAACAGAGCTTTTTATCAAAGTTAAAGATTGCTAAAGTCTGAATTTTTATTCTAGCTCTCAATTAAAAAATTTTGCAATATTATGGTTTCTTAATAAAAAATGTTTTATTAACTATTCAATGGCTCTGTTGGTATTTAAGGACGCATATATAAGTAGTGCGCATTAAAGTAAGCCCCTCTTATCAAATTTAAAAATGGGTTATATCCATTTGAGGTGACATGCCGATTTCTATTTTTATTAGCATAAATATTTTGTTATAAAAAATGTGTTATCACTTAATTTTCTAAAAAATACATCAACATTGTTATTTCAATTGGAACTTTGTATAATTTTTATATCGAAATCATCTTTTTTCACACGAAAAATAAGAACTGAGGATAATGTGAATTATGCTTTGGTCATATACAGGAAGAACATCATAATTCTCAACAGAAACATTATTGGGTATGTCCGCATAGGAAAACTCGTTTACGCTTTGATGGTGGTTTTGCATTTACCAGAATTGTTACCAACAGTTTTGTAATTGTTTCTAGAAGTTGTGAAGTAGCACCATTAGCATGCTATATGCTGCCAAACTGTGCCCTCATCCAAATTTCTGTAGATACTCAGTTGAGAACGATAAATAAAGCAATTGCGATATCATCCAATTGAATAAAGGGTCCATTCATCATAATGGTTACCATGAGGCAAAAGAGCTCGAAATCTCAGTATATGCACCGCTTGAGTCACGGTTTCTGGTGTAGGTATCTCAAGTTTAAGAATCGTTAAGTGATAACAACTAATATTCTCATAGTACAAAGAATTCTGATTGAATAAGTACTGTTTTTGAGTGAAAAGACTAAATTTAGCCTGTAGAAAACTAAATATGACTTGCAAAATGCTAGATAGCTTGTTGAAGACTATACTCTGCTTGTAGATAATTAAATATTGCTTGCAGAAAACTAAATACTGCTGGCAGAAGAACTGATATTGTTTGCACACGATTAATTACTGCTGGCAGAAGACTAAATACTGCTGGCAGAAGAATGGATAGTGTTTACAGACCACTAGGTACTACTTGCAGAAGATTAAATAGTGCTTACAGAAGAGTAACTACTACTGAGGTCCTGCTTGCAAAACTCAAAGCTGGATATTACTCGAGAAATGTATCTTAAATGATTTTATAACAAGTTTTTTATGAGACAGATTTAGCTTCATTTAACTTGATTCTTCATCGCTTGGTCCAGTTGTTAATTTTTTAACTGAGGTTGGGTACATATTTTAATCTAAAAGATGAATTAATGAGCAAAAATGATTCAGCAAAAAATTATCTTCAAAATATTCAGCGTATCTCTTAGCTTCTGCGTTTTTAATTGGTATATTCTGCTGGATTGGTCTTCTTAATAGCTTTTCAAAGTGAATAGTCAGTTTTACTAACACTTGACAGTTTACTTAAATAGTCACTGACCTTTAATGAGTTATCTTCAATTTATCTTCATTATTTAGTAGAATCTTATCAGTTGGTGACCTAATTTGATGCCAAATTCTTCTTCGGTTTCTTATACTCCATTGTTGCACCTTGTACCTAGAAGATAATCTTGAATAGGTGTGTACAGATTATGAATTATGTCTTTTTTGATCATAACCAAGATCTTTTATAGACAAAATTTTCCTGCATCGACTTTAGTTTTTGAGTTATTACAAGTTTTGTAACAATAGTCGTGAAAATACCGTTTTGGTGATTAGCACCTTATATCTACATAACATTGAATAGGGTTGCACAGAATATGGATTATGTATTTTTTGATCATAACCAATATTTTATATGTATAACATTTTCCATCATCGATTTTAGTTTCTTAGATATAATCAAAGGGTACATCGGAATGCCGATCAAAACTCGATAATCGCTATAACGCCAGATCTACAGATTATTGTATTAGAGGTAGCTTTGTCTTGATAATATCATTACAAATTTCATATCAATATCACAGCTGTGTCGATTATAATGTATTTCGAATCCATCTTGCAGTTTTAAGCCTGGTCAAACTTAGTTTTTTATTATTTTGTCATGTAATGATTCGTGTATTAGAATCTTTCGCGTTTCAACTATGAAACATATTTCAAAACGTCTTACTATTGATTCGATTGAATGAAATAGATTCAATTATTTAAAAATTACAAAATAATCTTTTGAGAACATTATCGGTAGAATCTATAAGCTGTACACCCAATTAAATATTAATTATAAAAATATTGGACATCAAATGTCAAAATCCACCGAAAATAACAGTTTTATTTATAAAAGTATTTTGCAATTGCCGCGTTTTTATTAATTTAATTGTGAATAAGATGGTGAACATTTCTACTTTTGTCATTCTATATGAATGAGACTTATCTAAAAACCAATTACATCAATTTGGTGAAAAACAAAAGTGATAACAAATATTTAACAACAAAGTATATGCTAATAGAAATTCGTGTATGAAGTCATATAAAACCTAATAGTCTAGGGAGGGATTTTCTTAAGCGCACTGTATACAGGTGGCTATAAATAGTCGATTTATTTCTTATCTATGTGCTTTAGTGATGGCGTCAAAATAAAGTCACTATACATACAGTATGTCCAGATGTCGATGCTCACCATTGGTATATCGGATATTATAAGAGAGAGAGCAACGGTTAAATGGGGAATGTTTCGCAGAATTCAATGCTCGCAACAAATCATATTTCAAATTCATCCCGACTTTTTTCGTTTTTGAGATATTTTGAAAAAACTGAAATTTGCTGACTTTAATTTTTTCCAATAAGTCGATAATCATAATGCAACTGCTTTTAAATTTTTATATTGTGAAGAGGCTTTTTTAAGACTAGCTTTTTGGTCTGAACAGAAACTATCGATATTCATTTCAACTTGGAAATTATTAGCGCCGATTAATTTTTTTTATTAATTAATTTTTTGTCCATATCTCTGGTATAACTGAAGATTTATTAGGCATGTTATACATTATTGAAAAGCTCTTTTTAAGGACTATTTAACTAACCAAAAATACAATATGGCCGTCATAAGAAAAACAAAAGTCGGCGCTAAAAACTTGGAAACAAATAAATATCGATAATTTCTGTTCAGACCAAAAAGCTAGTCTTAAAAAAGTGTCTTAACAATGTAAAAGTTTAAAAGCAGTTGCATTAGGCGTTATCGACTTATTAGAAAAAATTAAAATCAGCAAAATTCAGTTTTTTCAAAATATCTCAAAAACGAAAAAAGTCAGGATAAATTTGAAATATGATTTGTTGCGAGCATTGAATTCTGCGAAACATTCCCCATTTAACCGTTGCTCTATCTCTTATAATATCCGATATAGCAATGGTGAGCATCGAAATCTGAACATACTTTACATTCTGTCAGTTTTTTAAGTACACATTTTATTAAACAATTTTTTTTAAGTTCTAAATATCAGGAAAACTATTAAAGTTAGACATATAACATACTTATCATTAATTAAAGGGAACTTGATGAGCAATTCAACTAGCACACAACATACAGGGTGTTCCATTTAAACAACTTAAGAAAAAGCCATTTAAAAAACATCAAAAGTAACTGAGGTTTTTAAACAGCCTGTGTATTGTATCTAATATCCTTGAATACTATCATCTACCTACTGGCTTTGACTATTGTCTGACGTAGTTTCAAAGCAAAATCGGAAAAAATGTCGTTTTTACATCGTTTTTAAAAAGATCCTGTAATGGGCACATTTTGGAAGAACAATTGAATATCTCAGGAACTATGAACGCTGTGAAATAGTAACATATACGGTTGTATAAACAAATTTAGTTGTATTCATAATATGATAAAATATACTGGGTGTCCCATTTAAAAAAATTGGTGAGTCAAACAATTTTTTTGTTTTTCAAATGGTTTAGTAATTATTGACCGCCGGGATACTAATAACTTACCCTGTGTATGATAAATATATGATAAAACTAGAACTAACACTAGCACTATCACCAGAACTAATACAAGACCTATTCTGAAAAAGGTTTCTGTATGATAGTTTTTCAAAAAAAAAACGCAGTTTTAAGAAACTCGAAAGTTTCTAGTTCTAGGTGTAGTGTTAGTTCTAGTGTTAGTTCTAGTGTTAGTTCTAGTTTTAGTTCAAAATAAATATCTCTTTTGTATACATACACTATTTATTATCCCACCTTTTATTTTTATTGTATTTTACATTACTTGTATTACAAAACTAAAATATTCATACAGCTTCACCCTTATTTCTATATAAACAAACAAAACAACAAGATTTATGAAAACTGGTTAAAGCAATTTTTATGTAAATATCTATTATGAACATGTATTTCAATATGAACCACTAAGATCAGTTTTATAAAAAATATATTCTATACCTACATCAAATTACTTTTTATTTTTATAACATGGGAATTAAAGAAAATGTAGATTAACGTCTAACATGGACGTGTTAGAATTTGGGACTCAGTTAATGTAATCAAAAAGTAACACGTTTATTTGTTTATTTTATTTGTTATTGCAAGAAATCAAAAATAAGATATTTTAGAGTCAATTTATTTTCTCGTTTCATACTATAACAAATATGTGACTTAGAGAAAATAAATTACATGAATCTTTCGACTATTTGTAGCCACAATGTATTTTTAAGTATTTAATTTTGTAATAATGATATGCTATATCATTATAACTAAAAAAAACCGCTGCTGCTTCTATTTTATTTTCATTATTTTACATTTATTTTAACCCTAGCATATATCTTCGCATGATGTGTGACAATTTGTGCACCATGTTTTGTTCGTCTTTATTTAAATGTTTTGTTTTATTTTTTTATTTATTTTTTTTTTTGTTGTGACGTTCTATATTTTATATTTCGTTTTCAAACATTTAAATACCCACGTATTAATTTCCTATAATTCTTTAAAAAGCAGCTATAGGATATTGAGTGAGTATCCAAGAAATATTTTAATGTTTGAAAACACTTAACCAATAAAAAACAGTTATGTCTTATTTTCCTCTGTGCACAGAGTTACTTTGGCAACTAAGAATAAAAACGCGTCACACTGTTTTTCTCAACTTTCCCAAAGATGCAATATTTTCCTTTCTGACGTTGATGTTGACCCAAGGTGCGCCAATTTTCTTCTATTTCTTCTATTCGTATTTAATTTCAAAAAAAACTGTATTTGTTTGCCTCTTGTTTGCTTTTTTATTTTGTAGATAAACTTTGCATGAATAATTTTGTTTTGCTAAAACCACCAATATGTTTTATGTCATGTATTTTTAATTGTCTGGTTGAGGTGCGAATGCTTTTATGCCTCAAATTAAAAAAAAAAAACTTTTGTACAAAATTTTTTTATATTTATTAATTTTTTATTAATTATTAGCATGTATAATTTTTTTATTTCACACAAATTTAATTTTTAAGTAGATTATTTTTAACTTTTTAAGTTAAAGTTAACACTTAAAATTAAATATGTAGAACTACAATCTAACACTACATGTTTTTGGTACGTAAGTCTTCCAACACCTTTTTTTTTATAATAAATTGGTGTACATGTAGTGGTGTTTAAAAAAAGGAAGAAACGTAGTTGTGTAGCGGTTAAGTGGGCGTTTGTAGGGTCAGGCAATTCCAGGACAGGATCGGATGAACAAGACTTCGTTAGCCAAAGTAGCTCGCGTGCTGGGAGAGACTGAAACGGATATTAACCAGCATAAGGGATATTCCGAAGAGGTGAACTTCGATAGAACTTCACAGGTTTATACTAATTGCATGTTAATTTATCAAAAAAACAAACAATTTCTAAAGTTTTCAAAAACAAATCTTTATTATTTTTAAATAAAGATGTGCATTATTTTTATTAAACTCAGTTTTTGTTAGAAATTGTATGAAACTTCATACTCATTTAAGCATTAACAACAATCATGTGTGGAAAACAAATTTTCTTTTTCATTTCTTTTCGTGAAAAATGAAAAAATTGTTAGAAACACATCGCTTTCACGCATACAGCTAGAATTAAGTAGACTCATCAAACGCATATTAACACATTTTAAATTAGTTAAAATTAAATCGTTTACTAACTACTTGGTTTTTTCTCGCTTTTTAACGCGTAGGTGGAATTGTGTATAAAAATTCTTAGCGATATGTTGAATTTGCTTTTCCATGATAAGTCTCATTCTACTTACGATGATATAAAGGAAATTATTACCGTGGATTTGCATTTGGTTGTTCAAACTCTGATTAAAATGAATCGACAAAATCCTCACTTGGTAAGTTTAAAATACTGTTGATTTCGCTTAATTGGGACATATCGATGTTAATAATTTTTTAAAATATCTTAATAAAATGCGGTATGGAACATACAAAACAAACTATGTATATAAAAAAATGTTTATTTTAAGTTAAAATAACAATAATAATAGAATATAAACACTAAAAACCAATTAAGCATATAAGATATAAGCATATTCTTGTTTGCTTTTAATTCTTTTTAGTGATGATTTTCTACATGCGTTAACAAGATTTGTCAACGACGCATTTATTGGTCCAGGATCCCACTTTGTATGCAGAACTTCTTTGTTTTCGTTGTATACATCATTATCTTTTCTGGAATTATTATTTTTTCTTAAGGCTTCAAACTCTGCTTCAGTCATTAAAGATAATTCGATAGCAGGTTACTGTTTTTTTAATTAGTTCCACCACACCAGGGTGATCATGAAGCTATTCGTGTAGTTATGAATCAATTTCCGTGGTGTCAACTAATTTCCTTCAATTCCCTCTGACCTCAGCTTAGCTTTTTCTTTTTCTTTAACATAAGTAGTTAATATTTTCTTCCCATCTGCAATCAGCAAGGAATCGTATAGTTCGATGGCATGTATTAACTGCTTATTTTTGTAAGTGCCTTGTATGTTGTCATTATTGGTGGAAAAGTATTAAGAAAATAAAACGTAAATTCAACAAAAAACATAAAAATTATAGCCACTTGATCACCATTTATAGCCTGGTGTATGCACTATATTTAGCCACCATACTTAATCTAAACTGAAATTATTGATAAATTGGGAATTTAATTGATTGAAAACTACTATATAAAGATGTAATGATTTGAAAAAGAAGTGCAACGATTAATAATTATAATATATGTATATATAGTATATGTATATAATATATGTATATCCACACTCTTTCTGCGTGACTAAAAACTTCACTGTCTTCAATTGAACCTCTTGAACTTCGACAAACCAAGCTCTCATTTTTTCTTCGTTGCTTTTGGCTTATTCGAGGATAACATTTCAAAAAGGATTCGAACCATTTCCTTCCTGGTTTATTGTTTGTGAAAGGAGTGTCTAGACGGTTCTTCTCCAATATTTGCTGAACAGAATACATTAGTCCTTCCTTGTTCACTGGAAATCCATGGCTCGCGTTTGTCAATATCCAGTGTTCAAGTTGATCTTCAATATCCTTACCTTGAAATAATATAGGAATCAAACTGCCAAAACATGGGCTACTATTTGATATTTATTGGCTATAAACACTGCTGTCCAAGTAGACTTGTAGTTTCTTTACAGAAACAATGTTATTTTTAGTTTTTAATCAGTGGTTATCTATTATTCTTAGCTAGAAAATACTTTTTTCCAACTTTTTCCATCTTTACTGAAGTTTTACCACTTAACTTATCACGCAAAATTGTTCTAGGCACTGCAAAACTACTACTGGTCTTTGCCACAGCCATTCCATCTTAAAATTGAAAGTGTTGGAAGTAGATAAACTACTTGGAGTAAACAAATAGTTCTTCAAGTGCTTCTTATGTCAAACAAGTAACAAGTATCCAGTACATTTTAAGCTAAATACTGAAAGTACAAGTATTAAGTACCTACAATTTGAAAGTACTGGCAGTAAACTACNGAATCAATTTCCGTGGTGTCAACTAATTTCCTTCAATTCCCTCTGACCTCAGCTTAGCTTTTTCTTTTTCTTTAACATAAGTAGTTAATATTTTCTTCCCATCTGCAATCAGCAAGGAATCGTATAGTTCGATGGCATGTATTAACTGCCTTTTCTTCTTCAATGTCGTTTATTGCGGGCAACAAAGTTGCGATAGTTATCAAATCAAATTTCCCGCTTATATTTACAACTTCTAATTGACAATCAAGTTTCGAAACTATTTATTACCGTTTTAGTAGCTTCTATATAGTTATAATGGTATTCTTTATATCTTTTAAATTAAAATTCTGTCTAACTTCGTCTAACCTGGCTCTAAAATTATCTACTTTATCTAACTTACGTTGAGTTTTATTGCTATCATGTCTTGTATTGGTGTTGTCCTTGGATATATTTCTATGAAAACTTCTTAGTTCCTTTATTTGAATGCGCATCTCATTATTCGGAAATCTTACCCACTTGCATTCGACTTGGCAGGTGGGTAACTCAGGAAAATTATGTAGTAAAAATCTAGTGTAAATAGAATGACGTGTTCACAGTTTCGTATCGTTTTTTCTTATTACATTAATTTACACTCAACTTATACTAAACATAATGCTAACGTTGCAACTCTGAACCTTCTTATGTTTCATAACAACCTTATTAATTGACCTTCTTACTCATAAACTTCAAGATTTGCATTATTTTTATTAAACTCAGCTTTTGGTTAGAAATTGTGTGAAACTCATTTAAGCATTAACAATAATCATGTGATAAACAATTTTTCATTTCCATTTCTTTTCGTTAAAAATTAAAAAAACACATCGCTATGTTGTTGTTGTTCGATTTCAGGTTCTTGTGTTTCTTCTGCCTCAACTTCATCTACATTTTGTCCTATAATACCCTTGTGATAATGATATATAACATCACAAATTGTAGATAAAAATACAAAATAAACATTTTTACTCACTTGAACGAGTATTTAAGGTAATTTAGCAAAATTAATTTTCGAAAATAACGAATATGTATTCAAGTTATTCAAGATATCCACAAGTTCCTGGTCTATGAGTGGTCGTTTTATATCCCAATTTTGATTTCGTCATTATCACTGCCTTTCTGCATGTTCCCACATTTATTATCTATGAGGTGTGTCTTTTTGTTATGAAAACATGATCAATTTGATTCGTCCTGGTTGTTCCTGTGATCTGCCACGTACCCTTATAGGTGTTCTTTCTTTGGAAGTCTGCGTTCTTTGTGTTTATTGCCATGGCGTTAGCCATTTGGCACAGTCTTGTTCCGTTCGGGTTTATTTCATAATGCAATCCCATTATTTCTATTGCGTATGATTCTTTACCTATCCTTGCTTAAAGTTACTCACTATTATTTATTTATTTTATTATTACTCCTGTCCATAGAAAACGTTCTTTAAAAAAGTCTTGTCTTCCACTATAGAATATTGAAAAATTCTTCTTATCTACTAGATATCCTTAAATCGTTGTCCTCCTGTCGTTGCTGAGATTGTCTATTGGCGTCCGTTGTAAAGATGCGTGAAAACGAAAGTGTATCACGTCTTTATACTTGCTTTCGTGCATGTCCTGAAGGGACCAGATGATTTAGTTGTTGCGGAAAGTCGACCATGAAAGATCTGCTCATCGAGACTTGTGCTGTGGTGAGTTCGATTTTTGGATCTACCTTAGCACAAATAATAAATCAGTTGCCAAAATTGAAAGAAAAACGGAAAAAATAGGCGATGGTGGGTTAGAATAGAAAGTGGATACTTAAAAGCAAATCGGGGGCAAATAATTTGGTTGATAGGGAGCTAAGAAGTAATTACACTCAGAGCTGTAACAGGTACAAAGGAAAAGTAACTTGAAATAACCGACTCGCGTCGACGCTGCGCCGGCCAGTCGCCAATACCTTACAAGATTAAACACGTTTCTCTGACCGCAACTATCAAAACTTATTGAAACATCAAAAATACAAACTGCGAATTATTTTGCATAATTTAAATTTTGAAATAGTAAAGAGATGGGATGGGAATTAGGAATGAATCGAACACTATGTAGTGAATGGTTAATGATAAAGTATAAACTATCACTGTTGAGTATATAACTAATTACTGGAAGTAGATAAACTACTTGGAGTAAACAAATAGTTCTTCAAGTACTTCTTATGTCAAACAAGTAACAAGTATCCAGTACATTTTAAGCTAAATACTGAAAGTACAAATATTAAGTACCCACAATTTGAAAGTACTGGCAGTAAACTACTTAAAGTAAAAAAGTACTGAACACTTTACTTGCAGTACATTTTTACTGCAAGTAGCTCAACTCTGATTACATTGAGGATTTTAAATATTTGAATGTCTGAACGCGGGTTTGATTACCTTCTGGAAGGCGTTTCACCACTGATTTTAAAATCAGATACAAATATGACACAAGCAGTAAACGTTGAAACAAAATTTATGATTACTTTGCCATCAGGTCTTTGCTACAGGTCAAACCAGACAATTTTTGGCTTGTAAACGTCATCATTTCCGACTCCAGACTGCACACTTTTCTTCAACTCCTCACAGTATGAACTCTTCAGGTTTTTAAATTTTGAAGTAACATCTTTCGGCCCAAATCCAGGAATATTAAGAGCGTTAGAAATTCTCTCAGCTGCTACCATTCTCAAATTTCGGCTTCTGTAGTCTTCGATAGCTGCATCATACAACTAGCATACAATTCGATAAACTGCATGATCTCATTTTCTTGTAATTTAATAACAGGACTTTTCATTGTATTATTGGTTGTCGTTTTGAACCGGTATACGCGAGCGAACTCACGACAAAAACCAAATCAATTTGATATGAAATGTGAGCTCCAAGCTTGCCAATGACGTCAGCAGCTAATCCACGACACTTTCTTCACACGGAGAGGGTTCCTCGAAAGCGGGCCTCACGATTTTAAAGCTGTTTAAGTTTTGTAGCTGTTTTATTTAAGCCCCTAATAGTCTGAGCACCATTTCTCCCATCTCAGATGAGGTTGGTTAGATTACCAGGATTTACTGTTATCTCTTCCTGTACAATTGTGTTGTGGTTCGCATGCACTACCCCCTTAATAATCATCAAGCAGGCGTTTTCAAACGATATTGAACGGATAAAACGATGCCCGACAGACTGGTGCAACACTTCAGCACTGGTTCAGTCGAAAGTGGCATCACTACATAAAAGCCATAAAAATACGATGTATAATGTCGCTACATATTGTACCATGTTTGAAGAATTACAATTGGTTTTTATTGTATTGGGCGAGACAGCTGTCAAGATGGCGATTGTCGCCAATAAGCGGATAGCTATCTCAATTAAGCGATTAATATACATTAATTAGATAGTTTAAATCCTTACTTTGAAATTTGTCTCAAATAAGCGGTGGTCTCAATTAAGCGAAATCGATCGTATTAATTAAAATCTTATTAATATTTTTGTTCTAGGGAAATTTAGCAGCAGTAATGTTAGATATTTTCCGTCAAATGACTGAAAAACATTACGATCAATACATAAAGCAATTAACTGAAACGATCCATAAACGTGAATTTCTCTCCGAAATTTTAATAGTATTCAAAGAACTAGTCAATCAATCCGTTTTCCCAGTAGATTGGTCTGAAATGATTATGCTACAAAATCACATAATATTAAAAGCTTTACGTTTCTGTTCGCGCACGATCAAAGAATATTTTTTCGAAAATTTCGACCAACAATCTTGGAGTAACTTTTTCCACAGCGCAATCGCTTTCATGACTCAACCGGCTTTACAATTAGAAAATTTCTCGGCGAACAAACGGCTTCGCGTTTTAAGACGTTACAAAGATATGCGAAGAGAAATGGGATTTGAAGTAAAAGCGATGTGGTTTAATTTGGGAAAATACAAATTAAAATTTGTGCCAAATTTAGTTGGACTCATTTTAGAAATGACTTTAATACCGGAGGTAGAACTTCGCAAAGCGACCATTCCGATATTTTTTGATATGATGCAATGCGAATTTTATTCGTCAAAGCGTTTATTTGAAAGTTTTGGGAATACCAAACGAGATTCATCCGATATTAAAGGAAACTTTAATGATTTTGAAAACGAAATGATTTTGAAACTGGATGCTTTGGTTGAAGGTGGTAGCGGTGATGACAATTATAAGGATTTGTTTTTTGAAATTATGTACGATAAATGTTCGAATCATACATCGTTAAAAGACGGGGTTCGATTCGTTGAAATGATTAAAAGATTGATGGAGAGGTTGTTGCAGTATAGACACGTTGTTAATGATGAAAATAAAGAGAATTGGATGAGTTGTACCGTAGATTTATTAGATTTTTATTCTGAAATTAAAAGAAAAGAAATGTATATTCGGTATGTGTATAAACTGTGTGATTTGCATAAAGAATGTATGAATTTCACCGAAGCTGCTTTTACTTTGCAATTGCACACGAAATTATTAGAGTGGTCAACTGATCCTTTATCGCCACTTTTAAGAATTGATAGAGATAAATATCGATCAGCCAAAAATCATAGGGAATTAAAAGAAATTTTATATCAAGAAATGATTGAATATTTTAGTAAAGGAAATGTAATTAAGTATGTTTTATGATTTAATTTTGTGTCTTCATGTTTTATTTTATTGTTAGATGTGGGAATGTGCTTTGGAGAAATGTCAAGAATTGGTGAAACAGTATGAAGAGGAAACGTTCGATTACGAGCAACTTTGTTCATTGCATAAACAAATGGCGGAATTTTATAGTAATATTATGAAGAATTATATTAAGAGACCATCACCGGAATATTTTCGTGTCGGTTATTTCGGGCAAGGATTTCCCAATTTTATAAGAAACAAAGTTTTTATTTATCGTGGAAAAGACTATGAAAGAATTTCCGAGTTTAGTGCGAGAATACTAAACATATTTCCTAATGCTACTAGTTTTAATAAATTAACACCTCCTGGTGATGATATAAAAGAATCTAATGGCCAATGTATCCTTACTATTTTATTACCAATATTAAATTTAAACATTCTTCTATTATAATTTCTTAATTTAAAATTTAGATATTCAAATAAACAAAGTTGATCCAGTAATGGATGATAAAAACCACAGATTTTCCGGAAAACCGGTTGCCGAACAAATCGTCGCTTATCACAAATTCAACCACATTCAAAAATTTAGTTTTTCAAGACCGGTATCAAAGAAACCACAAAATCAAGAAAACAATAACGAATTTGCTAATTTATGGCTAGAACGAACAATTTTATACACGTCATATTCGCTTCCGGGTATCTTACTCTGGTTTCCTGTGGTCTCTTCTAATACATACGAGATTTCACCACTTCAAAACGCCATTGAAACGATGGAAAAATCAAATAAAGATCTTAGAAATTTGATTTTACAATATAATCGAGATCCGAATGTTTCAGTGAAAGGGTTAAGTTTAAAAATTAATGGAATCGTCGATCCGGCCGTTATGGGAGGCATTATGAATTATGAAGAAGCCTTCTTTAACGACGATTATATTCAAAATAATCCTGATGACCATACTTTGATACAAAAATTAAAAGATTTGATCGCCGAACAAATTCCGTTGTTAGAACTTTGCATTGAAATTCATGGCGCTCGAGTTGAACCGTCTTTAAGGGCTTTACATCAGCGGATTGAGAAATGTTTTGCTGATATGAAGGACGATGTTATTGAAAAATATGGAAAAAAGGTAAAGAAAACTACTATTTCAATTCTATTTTATTAATATAATATTTTTAATTTGTTTAGACTTCTGATTTAAAAATTGAAGTCACCATAAGACGACATCATAGTGTTTGTGTGGAATCCAAATCAGATTTCGCAAATGAGTAAGTACATTTTCACTTTCATAAAATTCATTGTTATTAAGTTATTTATTATTAAACAATATTAATTTTGATTAATGAATGGTGTTTGAAGATAATTGGTTTGTGTCATGTTATATATAGACAACAAGGTGGTACAAAAATGATTCATCATTTAATAGTAAAACTGAAAATGTTCACAAATGAATGAAGTGATACATTTCAACTGGCTAATTATTCATTTCTCCATTGCCAATTAAAAACATGGAGTCAAAAAAACGCTTTGATGGGCTTTTAGAATACAATACTATGTATGGATTTTATCTGCCACATAAATCCAATTTTTAGTCAAAATGAAAAAGCCAATCTCAATCGCATTTTGAGCACAAATAAGGGATTTCGTGTCTTGTCAGGTGCTTCATATTTTGTCTTTTTCTCGGAACATGTCTTAAATGTTGCTTGATTTCATTAATTTTTGAGGAGTGAGTTACAATTGTAACATTTTAGGATTGTCGTATATCATTTTAAAGGAAATACTTTTAATTTGGCATGAAAATTATCTTTTTATCTGAATATTTTATCTTTTGACAAAAAACGACTTGACGAAAATTTTATCAAAACTTCAAATATTGTTTTCTCAAAAACTAAAAGTTATTTTTCAAAACGGGTTGTTTCATTGGAAAGAGGACACTTTTATTAATACTTTGGTACATTTTCATACTCATATTCCAAGAAATGGATTTTATACGAATTTTTAAATCTTAATTAGCGGAAATTGCAAAATTCGAAATAATTGTCCATTATTTCAAAAATTTATTTCTCAAGAACTAAAAGTTATTTTTCAAACCGGGTTGGTTCATTGGAAAGAGGACACTTTTATTAACTATTTGGGAAATTTTCATACTCATATTCCAAAAACTGGATTTTATACGAATTTTATACCTTAATCGACGAAAATTGAAAAATTCGAATAAATTGTCGATCATTTCAAACATTTATTTCTCAAGAACTGACAGTGATTTTTCAAAACGGCTTTTTGCATCAAAAAGAGGATACTTTAATTAATAATTGGTGATATTTCCACAAGGATCCTTCAAGAAATTAATTTTATAGCGAATTTTGCAAGTTATCTATGAAAATTGCAACATCGAAAATTTTGTCAAAACTTCAAATATTATTTTCTCAAAAACTAAAAGTTATTTTTCAAAACGGGTTAGTTCATTGGAAAGAGGACACTTTTATTAGCACTTTGGGCGATTTTCATACTCACATTCCAAGAACTGGATTTTATACGAATTTTTAAAACTTAACCGGCAAAAATTGAAAAATTCGAAAAAATTGTCGATCATTTTAAAAATTTATTTCTCAAGAACTGAAAGTGATTTTTGAAAACGGCTTTTTGCATTCAAAAGAGGATACTTTAATTAATAATTGGTGATTTTTCCACAAGGATCCTTCAAGAAATTAATTTTACAGCGAATTTTGCAAGTTATCTATGAAAATTACAACATCGAAAAGTTTATCAAAAATTCAAATATTGTTTTCTCAAAAACTAAAAATTATTTTTCTAAACGGGTTGGTTCATTGAAAAGAGGACACTTTTATTAACCCTTTGGGAAATTTTCATACTCACATTCCAAGAACTGGATTTTATACGAATTTTTAAAACTTAATCGGCGAAAATTGAAAAATTTGAAAAAATTGTCGATCATTTCAAAAATTTATTTCTCAAGAACTGAAAGTGGTTTTTCAAAACGGCTTTTTGCATTAAAAAGAAGATACTTTAATTAATAATTGGTGATATTTCTACAAGGATTCTTCAAGAAATTAATTTTATACCGCAAGTTATCTATGAAAATTGCAACATCGAAAATTTTCAAAACTTCAAATATTGTTTTCTCAAAAATAAAAAGTTATTTTTCAAAACAGCTTGGTTCATTGGAAAGAGGACACTTTTAACTATCCGGTATCTGGCCGGATTTTCCACCACTAGTCCTTAGTAAAGAGATACTTATTATGAATATGCTGTGTTAGTTAGTCTTGATTTTTCAAAAGTTTTGATCATTGTATTTGCACATGTATTAATTATCTATCTTCATAATTGTTGGTTTATTGTAGTTTATTTCAAAAACATTCAAAAGGCTTTTTCTGGTACTTTGATCACCGCCCAGTGTTGATGTTTTAAAAATTAAGCCCTGATTCTTTGTGCTACTTAAATATCGCAAACTCCTTTTTCCAGCATTCCATGTTTGGTTTAAGGTACGTTCTTACAAGAAACTTATCTTCATCCATGTGTTCTATTTCCATTGAAAGACATGTTACCACTTCATTTTGACTCAAAAGGGAGTGTTGGCAGGAAGGAGTCATAGTGGCAGCAGAGTGATGGTTTGGGCCTGCATATCTGCTGACGTCGGCAATTTAGTATTTATCGACGGAATTATGGATAAAAATATGTACCTTCAAGTCCTACAGCAAAATTTCCTTCAAAGTGCTAAAATCTCAGTATACAAAATAGTTCTCACTTTTATCAAGATAATGACCCGAAGCAGAAATCAGGAATCAATTGAAGACTATTGAAAGTATATGAGCAATGTTGAATTAAAATGTTTTCTTCTTCTTCAATCTTTCTACAACCCAAATTAAGTCTTGACCTCCTTAAATTTTTGCCTCCATCCTTCTCTGTTTACAGCCGATCTCTTCCATATGCGGACCCTGAAGAAGTTTAATGCGTTTTCTGTTATTTTATCTTCTCATTTTTGACACGGTTTTCCCGCCAGTCTCTTTTCATGCAATTGCCGTTGTGCGCTTTTTTCAAAATTCTACTATCTTCCATCCTTATGATATGCCCGGTCCACATTAATCTTTGGAAGTTGCATAATTCTGTCAGTGGGGATTCTCTGTAGATTTGGAAAATGATTGGTGATAAGTGGTTCTCTTTTATTGGAGTTTTCTGAATATCTTTCTTTTAAAGATGTTTAACTTAAAGTCTCATTTTAGAGTTTTGATGGGTTGTTTGTGATCCAAACATGGGAGGAAGTGCGAAGTATACATTGTTAGGTAGCATTATTCGTTTATGTAATTCCCCCTCTATTTAGCTATCTTTGCTCAGATTCACTCTCAAATATATAAATTGTTCAACTGTTTTTATATCATCAATTAGTGTGATGTTGCCTGTATTTTTTTTATATTGGGTTCACGGCCTATATATTTGGTGTGTGTTTTCAGATTTTTAAAGCTTTCTCCGCATCCTCTTCTGCTCATATGATGATATCGCCCGGGTTGAATTAAGTTGATTTTGTTATTACAAGGTGATCTGTGCCAATGTTCATTCTTCTTATAAGATAGTCCAGGATCAAATTGAAGATGTTGGAGCGAACCCATCTCCTTGCTTCACTTCGTGCGTAATTTTAAATATCTAATGCTCGGAATACACGAGCCTAGTTTTGTAAGCTAGGATAGAAAGCTAGTGTTTGAAGCCAGAATAGTTTAATAGCTTGCCGTTCTATTTTTAAAGCTATTAAGCTTCTCCCACCACTGATTTCACTGTCCTGGCTTGGGTTTAGCTTCGTGTGGACGGAGAAGCTGGTATATTACGGACGTGTTGTACCGTCAATACCGACAACCGTCTGCAATGGTATTGGCTTGGCTGGCTTAAAATTACTGGCATTATGTAAACAGCACAATCATCTTCCAAGCGAGGGCAGCAAGCCAGGACAGTTATCTAGCTTATCTAACTTGCTATCCTAGCTTACAAAACTAGGCTCGTGTATTCCAGGCAGACGCTCAGTAAGAGTGTTTTTATATAGATTGGGCAGATTATGCTCTTCTTCCAGTCGTTAAGTATTCTCTCTCTTCTCTCCATATATGTACTTATTGTTAGTATTAATATGTGGATGCATTGTATTTCGCATGTATGCATTGGATTTTTGGAACTTTCTTATTTTACTGTGAAATTATAACATTTTCAATTTCATTGATGGATGATACTTCTATCTCTGTTTTTGGAGCTATATTTGGTATTGACATGTGTTTGGCAATAGTGTTTCCAGGTATCCTTTATGACCTGCATGTTATTTTCTATTTAGCCCTCTGTTTAGGTTTAAGTTTATAGGTTTGTTCGAGGCTTGTATCCTTCCTTTTTTTTTCAGATGGAGAGAAGAATAGAATTTGACGCACAACGGAGGAGCATTTCAAGAAATACGTTTCTGTTGTTTGTAATAGTTCATTTTCATATTCTTTTTTTTTTCTTCCTGCATGACTTATTTGTTTTTCTTCGTCCATCACATTCTATTCTTCTCTCCCTGGTCCTTCTTGCCATATGCTCTCTATGCATTTTGTTCCTGTATTCTATGACTTGTTTGCAGGATTCGTGAAACTAATTAGGTAGTTATTTTTCTTTTTGCAGTTGTATCCTGCTTCTATTATTGTTCTTCTAATGTTATTCCACTATTCTTTTATTGACAAGTGTCAGTAGCTGTCAGTTTTTGTGTGATTTCTTATTCAAAGCTCTCCCTCATTTCCTCGTTTGTAAGATTGTTGCAGTTTATTGGCTTATGGTTTTGTCGCTTAGTGTTGTTTCTTGAGATTCCGCATCTAAATTTTACTTGGACCAACAGACGGAGATAAGCAGCAACTTATCTCCGTCTTTTCACATCTTAGATGCCAGTAGCTGTTTTTTTATCTATTAAGACGTGATCTATTTGATTTCCTGCGAATCCATTTAGTGTGGTCCGCTCCACCTCGTGGAGGTTCTGATGTGGGTAGTGGGTTGAAATTATCATATTATAGCTTGCATCAAAATTTATTAAGAATTCTCAATTTTCGCTTTTTTTATTGTGCAACAATTGTTTTCCTATCACTCTTTGAAATTGTATTTATTTTCCTATTTCAGCATTCATGTCCCCTAGAATACTTTAATGTCCATTATTTTGGGCAATTTCCATAAACTTTTCTAACTTGTAAGTGTTAATAGAAATGATTTTTAACTTCTGCTTCTTATTCGTCTGTTTAACAGTATACGTTGATTAGTGTCAAATTAAAGAATTTCGTGTTTGTACAGTCTTAGTTTGCTAATTCTTTCAAATAAAAGGTACTCCACGTTCTTTCTCCTTTTCCTGCTTTACTATTACGTACGTTTTCGTATCTCTTACCTCCTTACTCAGCAATTTGTTAAAATTTCTTACATTCCATGTACACTGTGTTAATTAATTATCGTACCCGACGTCATCATTGCAAGTATGCAACCAAATATGTCAATCGCGTATTGCAATACCAATACTGTGATATTGGTTGCATACTTGCAATGATGATGTCGGGTACGATAATTAATTAACACACTGTATCTATTGTGTATTCCATATTTCGTAGCTTTAATCGTATCTGGTTCAATCTTCTATTTCGAAGCAATCTTTTAGGTTTTAACCTATTTAACCCATATCCATATTTTCGATTGACTATTTCTCCCGTTCTTATTCGCCCTGATCTTAAGCAGGGTTGATCAGGATTCCGGGGTTCACCGCTTCTTGTTGAGGTGAAAGTCTTGATTACACTTTGGTTTATTCGGTAAATAAATAAAATATTGGACAGATTGTAATAATTTACTCAATTTATGAACTTCAAGTCATAAGTAAGTCCAGTAAAAAAGAAATATTTTTTTGAACAATGTACCACCTTGTAAAAAGTCTTTTTTAAAAATGAAATGACACCATCCAATTAAATTAATTATTTTGGGTTAGGTAGTTTTGGTTATGTAAATAAATTTTGGTGGTGGTTCATCATTTCCAAATTTAGAATGATTAATAATATTTTAGTAAATTAAAATTTTTTCTAAATCCTTTTCCTTTGTAACTTAAATATTATTTTTTTGAGATTTTCTAAATTGATCTTAAAGAAATAAAGAAAATGATATTTAAGTTTTGTGCTAATCAAAAGGCTTTATTATCGTAGGAAACCCCAGATGCCGCGTGCAACACAAATCCCAGCATTAAAAAATTTCACGCAGTTTAATTTTAATGCAAACAATCCTACATTATCCAGGTTCGTACTGCTATTTCATATAGAAAACTCGGCTGTTCGCTCGAATTGCTTAATGATAGTGATTGTAATAATAAATAAAATAAATTACATTATTAATTAAAGCTAACAGTTAATGCGCACATTGAGCAGAACCTGTGGTTACTAACAGGAGGATTTTAAATTTTTTCAGGCGACCCTCACTAGCCGTGACGTTCTCTAGGCAGCACTGAAACAAATTAATCTATTTTTAACACAATTTTTAAAAAATTCGTTTGAGATTTTCGGGATGTCTTAGACGAAACAATTATTTTTAATTTTTAGTTTAAAACACGGTTCTTTTAAAGAGAATGGCTTATTTATTTATTAATATTTTTAAATCTTAAATTATTATATTATTTAGTTGATTGAAGTTACATTAACCGCTCGTTGCATCTTTTATGGAGGCTGGGTAAATATTTTGAAATTTTATCTTTCCGTTGTGGCGTCTTAATTATATTAACTCGTGTAGTTTGCTGCTTGTACATTATCACTAGCTTTAGTTGGGCTTATTTATAAATATTGAAATGTTTTATTTTGTGTGTTCATCTTAAAATCCTTTTTTATTAATAAAATAAAATAATTTATAGCAAAACATCTTCGTTAAGTGGCAGCAAAACAAGCATCTTATCACCGTCAAGAAATTCCAATAACTTAACCATGTCGAAAAAACGAAATAAAACTCCAAAAGAAAAACGCAAATCGAATAAAGTTGAGAGCATTAACAGTCCGAGTATTATAATTGGTTCATCACAATGGTATGCTGACAGTGAAATTATTTCAACAACTAATGGAACAACAACGCCTGTTATTGAATTAACTCAAGATGTAAATTAGTTTTATTATAAACATGAAAATGTCATTGATTTTGTCATTTTAGTTGACACCAAAACGGCCGTTGAGATCGGAAGTTGAAAAAGAAAAACGATTAAGTCGGCCTAATAGTGGTCAATATTCGCGACCATCAAGTACATCACTTACAATTCCTGTGAATAGTTCAGGAAATAGTAGTAATAGGGATTCTTTAGGTAAATTAATTTTTTTTAATTACAATGTACTCGCGATAATGTGTACAGAATAAAATCTAGCCTGCTCTAGTTATAGAATTTGTTCACCTTAACCCTTTAAGGACCAAGACTGTAATAAAAGGTGCCTCATAGAGCAAAGCCATATCTACACGCAATATCGAAGGTACATCTAGGGACCAAAATCATACGATTGCGTTCATATGGTTTTATTGCTACACAGTTTCTAAATCGGTTTGCATGATAAATGAATCTCTTAAATTTAATTTCTTCATCTTTCATCAATCTAAATGGATGATAGTCTTACATATCATTTTTAACAGTTGTAAATGCAAAGTTGTACTCTTGATAGGTGGAAGGGGCTTTGCAACATTTATAAATCCTGTTGAAGATGATTCTTTTGTAACAGTTGATACAGTTGACTGATGATGATGTTACTGTCGCTATAGGTGATCGGGAGCGGCTTCTTACGAAAGGAGAACAGGGTGGTCCATTTCCTTTTTTGTTATTTCTGTTTAAGGGTACAATTGGATGTTTTATGGGAAGTTGTCTTTTTCAGTTTCCAAGAAGTTTTCTACTGAAACTGAGAATAGACTTGCAGTAAACACATTCTGCCCTCTTCTTACCAGGAAATTTCACTACTTTGTGTTAACATTTTATCAATTCTTAACGGAGAATTAACCCGTAGCGAATTTTCTACAATTTCCCGCATAGTAATACATACAGGCGTGTCATATATGACTAAATAAAAATCGACGTGTTCCGGCTCATGACGATATCTTCAGCCGTTTTCAAATTAGACTGGGGGGATTACATATGACGCTCCCTGTATATAAGGATTAAGGTACTAATGTTAAGGTTAATGTAAAGAAGCCAGGAAATTTTAAAGTAAAGTAAATGATACGAATACGAAATAAAAATAAATTTCTTAACAGAAAAAAAAGGACTATAAAAGAAAAGAAAAATTATTTTTTATAAGTATACCTTTTTTATTTGTTTACCGTTTTTCTTCTAGAAGTAAAAATTGAATAAAACTCGAGAACAAATAATTAAAAGAAATAATATACATAATATCAGGACCAATGAAAAGGAAGAGATAAGAGGTTATGTAAAAATACGAATACTTTCCATAATCCATTTATTTTGGTGATATTGAGATAATTTGACAAACTCGATTATTGTCGCCATGTAGTGCAGCATAGTTCATAATTTGGAAGGCGCCAAATTCAGGATGTAAGATTAATTTATCGCAAGGAGATTCTTTAGAAATCTTTGATCACAAACACTTTTTTTGACACTATACATCAGTGGTGTCCATAACATCGATCGCCAACAAAATCATGAATCTGAAATATCTAAAAAAAAAAGCATAAATCGTTTCTTCTACGTCCCAATCGATCTTCTACCTATAGGTCAAAGATCGAGAGATCAAACATAATTGTTGTGGTACTTTCAATGTCTATTTTGACAACACCAATCCATCTAAACTTTTGCACTTTGATAAATTTAACTATCTCTAGTTCGCAACATAGAAGATACAACTCAAAATTGTAACGCCTCCTCTTTATTTCTGCGCTACCCGAATTTTTATTATTCATCAAGGATTCCAAGTATAGGAAACTGCTAACCGTTTCTATCTTGTCATCCCCAACTTTTAAATGTTCTGGTATGTTTTCACCAGCCTTTACTACCATATACTTGATTTTTGTAAAATTTATCTCTCAGCCCATTTTCTTGCCTCCGTTTTCAACCTTGTAAACCCTTCAGCTCGTTTTCTATTCGCCTATAGCATCGGTATACGTCGGCTAACGCCAAAATCTGCGTTGACTTGTTTATATTGTTCCATATAGCTCTTTTAAAAGACATTTTCAGTAATACCCTTTGGTTTAGAACAAATAAGTTAGAGGGCGTTATCTGCAGCGATACATATTTTTGTGATTTTTGAAAAAAAGTTAAATGGGACGGTACTTTTTACTTCACAGACTCTTAGTCACTATAAAATTTGCTAAATGCTAGTGAAAACCGTATCTCGATATCTCCATCCATTCTCGAATTATAGAAGAAAATGTTAAAAATGCGTATATCTTAATCGGATCAAGTTACCATAGCCAACAAATAAGAGAGCACAAAAATGTTATTGCCTAGAACCACCCTTCACACGTTATCAAAGCTTAGAACTGCTTCAAAACTACTTTTGGGGTGTGTTTAAAAGCCAATGATAATTAACAATGATAATAAAACAAAATAAACCAACACACTTAGAATTACAGTTACATTTTACATTTGTCCCACATACAAAGAACAAATTCAAAGTAAAATTGACGTGGCTAATTTTCTCCTGAAGATGACTACAACATAATAGTCGAAACCGGTAGAGCCGAAAAATAAAAATAAAAATTATTCATCTCAAAACATAGTTATTTTACTTATTTAATTAATTCACCAAGATCGAAAGAAATACTGTTAATGACACTTAGAATTACTTAAATTTTTGGCAAAAATAACTCACAAATGTTCGAAATGCCTTCCATAAAGCTAGATTCATTTATATAACATTAGTTTCGACGGAAAAAAGTATCAGCGGTATTAAGTGTCAGCCCTGGACACGTTTCTAATGGCATTTAGTGTTTTGTCATATTTTCCCTGATTATTGGTTTTTCTTGAAAAGTCAGGTCGTTTAGTCTACCCCATAGATAAAGGGGTTAAAACAATGTGGGTTTTGCTCGAACCAAGAATGCATATTATGCAAGTATACACCAGCTTGTTGAAAGATGCTTCATGCATAATAGTTGAGTCTGTTATCATAATCGGTATCTGTTAAGGCCTGATGTAAAACTGATGCATTGCAGATTTTTGCCATTCAGTTGCATCATGTTCGAAACATTGAAAATAAATTATCATACGCTATATCATACGTCTGCGTTAGTAAATGACATGTTTACTGTACCATGGTTATGTGATTTGTTTTTCTCCATGAAGTAACTGGATCCGATTGATGGCACTCGAGTTTTTAACATTTTCTTCTATAATTCGAGAACGGATGGCGATATCGAGATGCGGTTTTCACTAATATTTAGCAAATTTTAAGATCACTAAGGATCTGTGAAGTAAATAGTACCGTTCCATTTAACTTTTTTTCAAGATTCACAAAAATATGTAGTCGCTGTAGATAACGCCCTCTAGCTTATTTGTTTTAAACCAAACAGTCTTACTGAAAATATTTTTTAAAAGAGCATAAAATGCTCTTTCAAACAAGACCAAAAATTTTCAAATCGGCTGAATGGTCCAGGAGATATTAAAATGTAAACATTTGAAAACGTCTTGGCCTCCTCCTCCCTTATTATGACGGAAATGAGAAATATCTCAAAACAAAAGCGTGCGGTATTATCCAAGCTATTAAATGATGTTGTCAAAGTTATAGCTCATCGTCTAACTTTCTGAGATAGCGGCAATTTTATGTTTCTCCTATGGCAGATTAGAGATGGAAGATTACTCTTATTTTGTAACCATTTCCAGCTATTTTCCTTGCCCATTTTACTTATAAGGATTTTTTCCCAAACCTCTATTCCTTACCGTTGTCGAAATACAGCCGCTGCGTACCCTTAACGGGACATCCTGTATTTGGAGTCGTGCATCTCGTATTATCAAGGCGAACATACCCTTCGGGAGATTTAGCCCTCTGAACAATCTGCCTCTACTCTATTAAGTGCCGTCACTCTCCAATTTTGAGCGCGCTGCTTCTTCATGTCGTTTCTCCTATTTCTTGGTATATCTGGTTTGCTCGCAAATACTTTATTTGCTTTTCTGGTTTCAATCATTCTATACTTTATTAATACGACGTAAGTACGTTTCCTTGTTATATTTCATGCCAAAAATGTTTCGTAATATTTTTCTTTCAAATATCTTAGGCTATTCTCATCTTTTGTTATAAATGACCAGACTTCGCTTCCATATAATAATAATAAATTCTTTATTGTTCCTCACTCTTATTACATTACAGCAAAAAGACATATAGGTACATATATGTGACAATCGGTCTTATGCTGTCTTGTATGCAGTGTTGTATGCTATTATTATTTCTGATTGTGAGTAAAATGCCTAAATACCTAATGCTTTTCACGCTTTCAAAGTTGTACTCAGCAACAGTTAAGTTTTACGGAGTTTTTTTATTTTTATTTCTGGACATTCGCTGGTTTTTATTATTATTGATTTTTAGGCCAATTATTTTCGTTTCGAGTTTGCGCTTTACGAATGTTTCTACCATAGTGTGGTAGAGAGCAGACTGTCATTTGCTTACAGTAAATGACAGTAACTTGATATGCCTTATTAAATATGCTGCCTCCGTTTCCTAGATCATCATTGGGCATATAAGACCAGATCTTTACTTTTTTAGCATTACCTCATTTTGCCATATGATACATATTATGTTACGTAACTTAGAGATTAGTATGTCACCTCCATTTTTAATTAACTCGAATTAACGGGATCTGTTATTCGACTTCATTATTGCTGCCTTTACTACATCAGCTGTTGGCGTTTCTATTTCACGTTCCACAGTGGCGTAGTCTTGTCCAGAGTTATTGTTTTCATCTTCATTTATCTCATATATTCAAAGTAGATAGTCAAAAAATATTGAAAGTTTCAGTTTTTCAGGGCGATATTAAAAAGCAGATATGACAGCCCATATTCCTGTCGCAGACCTTCGTGGCTTTCAAATGTTGTTAATAGATCTCCTTGTGTTCTGACTTTGCAGGAAACCTTCCTGATTCAGTAAGTACCACAGGACCAGAACTGCAGCAAATACCAGAAGCACGGCTACCAAATTCGGCTGATCTTGAAGAAGGATTAAAGAATATCTTTTCTTTTATTTACAAAATTATGTACACGTTTTAAAAAAGTGATTTCACTAAAGTTGATATTATTGTCTTCGGTCCATTGTATTACAGTTTCTAAACACTTAATTACTTCAGCATGGGTTATTTTACAGGTCAAATCTATTCTGAAATCTTTTTTTTCTTCGGAAACATCGGTTTCTTCTTCATTACCATTCTCTTCTCCTAAAATGTTTTGAATTTCATAATCGTCGCTATTTCATAGCTCAACCTCTTTAGAATATTGTAGTTGCTATAAAAATCATTTAGACAAATTGACAGCGTTAATTCATCTTCACCATCATACTCTTCATTACCTCTTATTTTATGCCATTTTTGGGAAATCCTTGGTTCTAATTTCTCACAAGTTTCCACAGCAAATTTAAGTGATATTCTTTTCAACCCTCTTCCAACTACTTCTTCGTTGTGACACACAATAAATCTTGTGATTTTTTAATGACTTTTATGATTTTTAATGCATTTTGATCCATAGGCTATTAGTTCAAAGCAGTTACATTTGGTGGTAAGAACTTGGCGCATCTAGGACTTTTAGCTTTGCCATTTATTAGAGGTGGTAATTTATGAGATCCAGACGCAATTGCACATCCAAGACAAGTTTTGCGTTGTTTTGCCATAAAAACGACAAAACATCTCCACTACAAGACAGCAGCCATTGCTTTTATAACAAGACAAAACGTGTTTGGCGTTATTTTGACGTCACATTACTAAGATTACGCATTGTTCAAGTTACAGAGCGGTTTATTATCAAGTTCACATTATCACGAGTCTACTGTATAAATTTAATTAAGTATAATTTATTAAAGGAACAACAGATTCAAGTATTAGTGAAGAAGACTTAATTCCACCTCCATTACCAGCGAAATTAAAAGAAGTAGATTACCAAAATTTGCCATCAGAAAACGTTAGTTTTCTTCATTCAAATAGAAATTCGTTTAGGTATACGAACACAACCCCAGTTCCCGATTTGGAACCCATGGAAATGGAACCTCCACCAACACCGCCACCGAAACCGCCCAAAAAGAAGAAACAATAAATTGTTGTAAAAAGTATTAAATTTAGTATTTGTGTATCTTAATTTTTTTCGTTGTGTATTTAATGATATTGTAATTTGTACTTTAATGATGTAATTGTAATTTTGTAGTTATTTTTTAGGATAGCTTTTTTTTCTTGAATTATTGAAAAAGTACGAAAGTAAAGGTGCTATATTGTAAAAATTCGTAGATAAATTAATATGTGAGTCGTTACCAAATGTGCCATTAAAATGCAGGTGTATGTACACAATATCGAACTTTATTAATTCTAGAATTATTAAGACTTATTAATTATTAGTGGGTAGATTAAAAATTTTTTTTTAAACCAAAGAATTATAAAACTTAACAATTAATAAAGTATCTTTGATTTTTTTATTGTGACAATAAAGGTATTTAAAACTTAACAAATTAATAACTAATCCTAAAAACATTAAAAAATCTTCACAATAGAATTATTTTTGAAAATCGGTCACTATAACAAATCACAGATCGAAACGTTATATTTACGCGTTTCTTAAGACTAATGGGTAATAACTTTTCCTGAGGAAATTATGAAAATAATACTTATAAGTTAAGATATTCCTCCGAGTTCTTCTGATTTTACAGATGATTTTGGTTCAGTCATCACCATGTTGACTTCTTTTCGGTTTCTCTCAGAGCTTTTCCTAATTCCATACCCGAAATAAATCACAAAACCAACTGCTAACCAAGCGGCGAATCTTATCCACGTTTCGGCCTCCAACATTAACATTAAACAAATATTCACCGTTATACTTACACATGGAATTAAAGGAACTAAAGGTACCTACAAAATTAAAAAAATTATACAAAATAAATATTTTTTTTTTTAAATAATTACTTTAAATGATAATTCGACATCATCAGCTGGTTGTCTCATAATAACTGCAAAAACCAATAATAAAACCAAACATAAAATAATGAAACCAGTTAATGTTCCAGGTTCGTCTGGATCAACGGACTCGGGATAAAATAAAATCCACACGCAAATTCCAATTGAAATTAAACCTTAAAAAAAGAATTTAACTCAATAAGTAACTCAAAACATTAAATTAAAAAATACCATAAACGGTAAGCGCAATATTTGTAATTAAAGAAGTTGACGCATTCGCTTCTTTGTTATTATTTAAATTAAATAATTGTTTAAATAAAACCATAAATGAATTTAATGACCCGCTTGAATCTTTTGTATATTCCAAATCAGGAGTTTGACTCTTTTCGATCGGTGTATATCTTAAAACCAAAACGCAAATAGCTACGATTGTATAAGCTAATAATGTACCAATTGACATCATTTCGATTAACTGGTCAACGTCGAACATAACAGCCATAAAACCTAAGAATAATAAAAAATTAAATTTTTTTATGACAATATTATAATGAAATAAGTACCTGATAAGATTCCAGATATCACAGTAGCAATTAAAGGCGTCTTAGTTTTTTCATGAACCTTGGAAAGGAATCGGAATAAAAGTCCATCACTTGCCATCGCATAAATGACACGAGGTAATGGGAACATTGCTCCGATTAAACTTGTACAAAGAGCGAATATTGCTCCAATTGTTACTATCCATTTTATGGCAATCCAGTCCAATTGTTCAAAAGCATGTGGAAATGGAGCTTTGGCATCCTACAAAAAATTATTGTTAATTATTTATTATCATGATTAATGATGACTTGTGTTAAATTAAAGTAACAAAACAGTACGAATTTAAAGTTAAATGATTATCTTGAAAAATTTAATTTCTCGTTTAATAAGGAGAGGAATTACGGATCACAGAAAAGAATATGGAAGATTATCAAATAGAATTCTGTTGAAAAAAAATGGGCTAAACATTTCAGAGCATTATATTCAAACGCCGATCAAGTGGATTTATCTAGAGCTAATTGCAAAAACAAGATCATGCAACAAACCATCATTCAGCGAGTTGCAATAGCAGATGCCTAATAAAAACAACAAACTAAAAAATGGATGACAATGAAATAAAATTTAAAGTCCAGCATAGAGCGACGTTGCTGATTTCCAAGCATATCAAAGTCAACGTGGAACAAAGTGACCATTACAGAAAACTGACACAGTTCTTAAATGATAGCAAAATCAGTTGATGCTCTGTCGAGAATAAACAAACAATACCAATCAAAGCTATGACCAAACATCTAAGAAATGCCGCTTATAAAATACTAGATGTAACAAAGCTACTAAAAGAACGAAAAAAACTCTTTCCCACTCTTCATGTTGACTTTCAGCAATGAAACAGTCATAAAAAATTTTTAGAAATTAAAATCATCTTGGAAATAATAGTTGATTGACGGAAGAAAATTTAAATTTGTGTTAAGTAAGGTAAGCTCAGAAAAACATCAAACTGCAGATTGCGTAAAGCCACAACAATCCAAGATTAAATGTTATAATAAGTAGGTACATCCTGCAAATTATAAAGATTGCATAACAGCACGAGAAAAACAAAATTTTAGAAAAAAATCCTCAAAGAAATAGCTAGAACGACTTAAATTAAACCGGAAGCCAGAAGTATCCTATGCCCAAGTGCTCAGAATCTCCAATCAACCTAAGAAGCACAAGCTGAATTTGTAAAAGAGAGACGGAAAGATGATAGTACTAAAAGGTTATTACAAAAGAACCGGAACAAGTTGCATAAAAATGAACGATAGTTTTGGACTTTAGCAGAGGAAAATCAGTTATTCATGTCTCCGATCAAGTCGCGTCTGGATACATCGAGGTTAGAAGTGGTACAGAAAGGTTATATTTTAGTTGCTGACGGATATAGCACAACTACCGGACATTGTAGATTTTAGAGAAGAACTTGTGCAGTATTTGGCAATGACACGTCTGCCAGTGAAGGCGGAAAAAGACAAAAATCAATGATGAAGTCAATAAAACTATACACGCTTGAAAAATTTTGCAGATTGCGCCGTTTATCCACGCTTACAGATATAGCCTGAATATTTGGTTAAGAAATTTTTTCAATTTCGTGTTGAATAAAACGAGTAATTGGCATTTTAAAGAATCTCTTGTTTCAGAGATAAGTATAAAGTCAATTTTGTATTCTGATATATAAATCCCTAATTCTTCGTCGAGAGTAGAAGCGGTATAGAAAAGTAATATATGAGTTACTGACGAGTATAGCTGTTGTAACTGCTCACTCCATCTATACGGCTACTGTAGGACTACTACTGGATATTGTAGATTTTAGAGAAGAACTGATGCAGCATTTGGCAGTGACATGCCTGCCAGGGAACATGGAGAGGACCAAAATCAATGATAATGTCAATTAAGCCATACAAGCTTGAAAAATTTAGTAGATTTCGCTCACAGATATGACCTGGATATTTGGAAGACAAATTTTTTCAATTTCGTGTTGAATAAAACGAGTAGTTTGTCATTTTAAAGAATCTCTTACTTCAGCGATAAGCATAAAGTCAAGTTTGTATTCTGATATAAATCTCTAATTCTGAGGAAAATCATTATCCATGTCTCTGATTAAGTCGCGTCTTATGGAACATCTGTACGTCGAGGCTAGAAGTGNCATCTGTACGTCGAGACTAGAAGTGGTATAGAAAAGTAATGTTTGAGTTGCTGACGAATATAGGTGTTGTAACTGCTCAGTCCATCTATACGGCTATTATAGTACAATTACCGGACATTGTAGATTTTAGAGAAGGACATGTGCAGTATTTGGCAGTGGCACGCCTGCCATGTTTGAAAAATTTTGCAGATTACGCCCACAGATATGGCCTGAATATTTGGACAAGAGATTTTTTCAATTTCGTGTTGCATAAAATGAGTAGTTTGTCATTTTAAAGAATCTCTTATTTCAGAGATAAGCATATGGTCAAGTTTGTTTTCTGATATAAATAATTTGAGCTCTTGTGAAAGATTGACCAAGCCGTTGGCGTTCCAGACTCCAACTTTAACGTAATTATCTAGCATTTTGCCAATTTTTTCCATAATTTTAGGAAGTAATTGTTCTAAATTATTTGACGAAGCCAATGGTTGATTAATTTGGATAGCGTTAGTTGGTTCAAGCTGTTGGTTAAAATTTAGAATTCTCTTATTAGTAGACCGAGGTTTCGTTTGTGCATAACGTTTTGGTAGTTATTCAATAGTCTTCTTGCGCAAGTGTGGAAAGGTTTTCTTTTGTATTTTTCTGTAACCAACATATCTTTTATAGCAGGCCGGATGGTTTTGTGCGTATTTTACATTATTACTTTTTCTATCTCTTGAACACTACTTTCATGTGTGTCCAAAGTATTGGCATCTTAAGCATTGTGAAAAATAACTCTGACAGAATGTTGAAGATACCGAAGACTCAACCTTTGATGACGACAACTTAATGTTCGTGTTCAATACATTTGTCATACCTAGCCAACAATAAAATACTCTCTGCCTACAACTATTTTTGGAGTTTTTACTCCATAATGGTGTTTCAGGTCAATTTGATTCGTGTGGTGTCCCACCAAGTATAACAGTAGTATGATAAGTCTGACAAACTACCAAGAGCTATTATGTTAAAGTTTCTTTCTTGAATCTGCACCTTTCCAGAAAATTTCAAAGCAAGAATTCTCTTTTTCCTAAAAGAGGATCTGGAAGTTTTTATACTAAATAAGGTAAAATATCGCATATTTGATACGTTTTTAACATTGTGGCAAAGGCTGCCTTCTAGATCTTCTTTTAGATCATTTGTTTCTGTAGAAGAATGATTATTTTTGAGCACAACTCTAAAGTAACGGTCTTTTTTAAATTGAAAAGTTAATGCAGTAATAATTCACTCGTGGTATTTGTTGGAACATTAATCTGATTACCATTCAGGACTGTTGTCGTATATTTCTGGGGAACTCCAAGCATCAGTGTAGTTTTATTCAGTATTTTGAGGCTAACTGGTAAGACTATATAATTTCTGTGTAATAGTTTTACGAGGAAATACTTGAAATTGAAAATAAAATTTTCCAAGAAAAATACTAAAACATTTTACCATTTAAATCGTAGGCATAATAATAAACTTAACCAACGTTTATTAAACCTGTGTTTAATAAATAAACGTTATTAAAACTTTTCGTTTCTTTTTCACATATTATTGATTTTTTCGATTTTTTCCCTAATGAGTGAGCATTTGCAAAAAAATAAAAAAAAATATATGACACCAAGCGATAACAAAAATTCCAACATACAATGTTCGTCGTTAAAATTGCTTTACTTTTCTACGCTTCGTGCATATTAACTTTACTATAAACTTTACTACCTTATTTATCTATTTTCTCGAAATATCGTTTTTTCTTACCTGTTCGTAATATGGTAACATCATTGTTAGAACGGTGGATATTCCAAAATAAACCAAAAAACTAATCGTTAAACTAAAAACGATAGCCAAAGGGATATTTCGTTTTGGATTTTTGGCTTCATCGGCGGTTGTTGCAACCGTATCAAACCCAACAAAAGCGTAAAAACATTTTGCAGCACCAGCAATTATTCCGGAAATTCCAAATGGTGCGAATCCACCTTCACCTCCATGATCAACTTCGGGTGGAATATCTTCTTTACTAATTTGCCAATTTTTAATATCGGCTAAAAAATTTATTTACAGCTTGTATTATTTAAAAGAAAGATAAGAATATCGATTGTTTCAAACGTATTTACGATTATCATTAAGTTTTAGATTAACGATGTCAAAACCAACTTTGAAGTATTAGGAATTTTATTGCAGTATTATTTGTAATCGATAAAGCTAACGATTAAATGGATTGAAAGAAACAATGGATACAACTATCTATTTTTAATTAGTTTTGTTAGTAGTTTACCTCCAATGCTTCCTGATATAATAACAGTTAAAACGGTCGTTATGTTCAGGGCTGTAAATATGTTATTTAACCATGTTGATTCTTTCACACCAGCAGCAAGTAAAACTAAAAAAAATGCAAAAAAGGGAATTTAAAAAGCTGATTTAATTTAAAATTTATAAATGCTCGCAACCTTTTTTCCGTTCTATTTTTATCATCTACTTTAGAATCACCCGCATGTAGATATTACGCAATTAACACAGCAACTATGTGATGATGAAAGTTTTTTGAACTTACTCGTTAATAAAATTACAAAACCAAGAGATAAAAAATCTGGATATTTTGATAAAAACGACTGGTTGATTGGAAACGTTTCGGTTAAAGCTGTGCTCATACTATTATTGGCCAAAGCATCAATGTAATCACTTAAACCTCGAGCTAAACTTGCAGTACCTAAAAAAAATAATAATGAAAAAAATTAAGAATAAATTTAAGACTAATGATGATGACATAGCATAACTTTTTTTTGCTCGACCGAAATCATTATATTAAATCAACGTTTGAATTTCCTCCTAGGTCAAATTTTTTTATTTACATTTCATTTTGTAAAAAATCGAGGGCAAAATGATTGATGTTTTCGCTTACCAATTACGTATTCCAAAACAAGGTTCCAACCGATTATGTAAGCAGCAAATTCGCCAACACTTACGTAGCTGTAAACGTACGCTGAACCTGCCTTCGGCACTCTTGAGGCGAATTCTGCGTAACACAAACCTTAAATACATAAAAAAAAATTTATTATTATAGATTGAGATATACATATTAAAATCTAACAAAACAATTAATACAAAATGCTCTAAAACATTCAGAAACTAAGTCTGGTACATGCAATGATAAAAAGAAAATTATTGCTTGATCATTTTAAGATAAAATAACTATTTGGTTGAGTTCTCTGTACGATTAAAGATTCCACAAATAATAACTTGAAGATTTATTTATCAAAAACAAACTAAACATTCTGCCCAGAAGCGTACAAAATGATTTATGTGCCATCAGCTATAAGAAGTACAAAACAGCGCATGGTCGAAGCGCCAGTACCTGTTGTACGGTCTAAGTACCAAATAATCAACATTGTTAATATTCAAAATGAACACACTGAGAGTGTTAAAAAAGAAAGCAAAAGATGTAGAATTAGTGGCTTGCAACATCCAAATTAAAAAATATGTCCTTGTACCGGCTAAAAATCCACCCGAACAAGAGGTAAGCAATTTAAACCTCAAAATCAGAAAACCATGTACTTATTACACTCTTGTTGCAGGTAACATGCTCTTGTAAATATTCCTGCAAATCTTTAACATTCAACCAGAGAAACTCATTATTCCAACAATATTATGAAGCTGCAAGTCACGATTCTTTTCTTTTGTGGTTGATTCAAGTTATAAACATAAGTCGCAGGAGACATGGCACGTATAATACAAGGTTCTTAATGGTAGTGGAGATCTTTGCAGAAAAACGTTTTCTAATATTTGCACTAAGCCACAAAAAAGGTGCAAGTACTTGTGGAAACACATTGTGGTACTTACTCAGATGAACGTGGTAAAAAAGTATTTGCTAGAAATGCGCCAGCAAGTCAGGGATCATATACAGAGTTTTCCTTGCGAGAAAAATCATTGAAATTCAGTAGTTACTTATAAGTATTACTCACTAGTGTTCAAAAAACCCTTCCCAAATCTCAAATTCAAGCGGCCTAGGTCAGATACATGTTCGAAATGTGATCTTTATCATAATATGATCAAAGTTGACCAACCCAAAGAGGAAACAAGAGGCGCTAAAACTGGAACTGCACCATTGCAAGGCAAAAAAGTTACTTATAAGTATTACTCGGTAGTGTTCAAAAAACACTTCCCAAATCTCAAATTCAGACGGCCTAGGTCAGATACATGTTCAAAGTGTGATCTTTATCATAATATGATCAAAGTTGACCAACCCAAAGAGGAAACAAGAGGCGCAAAAACTGGAACTGCATCATTGCAAGGCAAAAAAGGCAAAATCCACAATAAATACCGATATCGCAAACTCACAAAATATTGATAGTGAAGATAATACTATTTCAATTGATTTGGAACAAGTTCTTTTCATTCCGATTTTGACTCATTTGGATATGTCTCACGTGCATCAGAGATTTAGCCCAAATAGAAAAAAGGAAAAAATTATACAATCGAANCAGCGCAGAACTTGCAGTGATGCCTGCTTTCTGTTCAGGTTGGTCAGAGGTTACTGTGATTCTTTCTATCTTCTTTCACGCATTGATCTGCATGTTCCCCCTCGTCGGCTGCGCTATGACTTTCTGTTCTATGCGCCGACTGCCCGGACAAATTCGTATAGAAATTCCCCAATACTTCGCATGGAGAGGACAGTGGACCGTCTTGGGTTGGACATATTCGCCGTCACGCCTCACAACTTCAAACAAATTATTCGTAATGCCGTGCTCGCCCTACCAGTTGTGTGATTTTATGTACATTATCTCGTTGCAGCGGCTTGAGTTCTGCCTTGAATTGATTTGATCACATATGCTTAAGGCCATTATCAATTGATCGATTGTCAATTTTGTGTTCATAAAATTTATTGTATACAAAATGTATTATAGTGGAGTAGCTTTTATGTGGGACTGTGTCCTGTTGCTACCCCCGTGTGTGTAATAATAATAATAATAATAATAATAAGTATTACTCACTAGTGTTCAAAAAACACTTCCCAAATCTCAGATTCAGACGGCCTAGGTCAGATACATGTTCGAAGTGTGACCTTTATAATAATAAGATCAAAGTTGACCAACCCAAAGAGGAAACAAGAGGTGCTAAAACTGGAACTGCACCATTGCAAGGCAAAAAAGGCAAGATCCACAATAAATACCGATATCGCAAACTCACAAAATATTGATAGTGAAGATAATGCTATTTCAATTGATTTGGAACAAGTTCTTTTCATTCCGACTTTGACTCATTTGGATATGTCTCACGTGCGTCAAAGATTTACCCCAAATAGAAAAAAGGAAAAAATTACACAATCCAAAATTTAAAACCTTTTAATGTAGTCTACATACAAGGATTTTCAGAACAATGCAGATGAACGTCTGAAAACAACTAAAGTACAAATTTTATAAGTAGTTTGGATTAAAATTAAACAAAGGCAAGAAACCTCAGTAAAAACCACGAAGACCTTTTCTGATTTGGAGGCATGGATAACTTGTAATGTCCTAAAAAAATCAAAAAGGTCGAATGGCATTTCTCATGCATGGTTTTCGACCTCAACTGCACTAACCGTATTTCAGAAGCTTAAGGACATGATGGACTACATTCCATTCTCGTGGAGGGTAAAAACCAATTTTGCCAAATAACAACAGAATTTTTGAAGAAAATACTTGTTTGATGATTTACAACATTATTATTGGTTTTATGTAAAACTTGGACATTTGGATAATAAAACCTTTTTTTACTTTTATATCGCAGTATGATCCAAAAAAGTTTGCAGCTTCACTTCTATGGATGTCTCTGAGACTTTAATATTTCATTTTTCGTGGAGGCAACGCTTCTTAGTTTCTTGTGTAATTTTGTATGATGCAGATTTGTTAATAACTTCTGACTTCAATGTACATAATACAGTACACAGGAAAGGAATTTCAACCCGACACTGTTCAACCAGACAGGATCTAGAAGCTAGAAAGCCTCTATATGAAAGAATTATGTTTCGTTGAGTTGGGTTGTGTTAAGTTATGTTGAATAGAATGGTTTAAATAGGTTTGTTTCAAAACTAATTAAACCGCATAATCTTTATACGTTTTGACAGCTGATATAGCAAAGCAAATGCTTGTGAAAAAAATCAATTGGTTCTATGTAGTAGCTTCTAGTTTCGGCTTATTTAAAATACTGTTCAGGCTAGAAAAAAATTATCCGATGTGTATGGAGGAGATATGTTGACAGCATGCCAGTGTCAAAACTGGTTTACAAAAGTTAGATTCGGCAAATTTACTGTTAAAGTTTCACCACGTTTGAAAGTTTCACCACGTGAAAAACCAGTTAAAGCTGAGAAAAACATAATAAAGGCATTAATTGATGCAAATTGGCGAATAACTATTCGTGAGATCGCTGAAAGATTACATTTTTCGAATTCGACCGTTCATGATCATTTGAAATGAGTGAACGGCTTTGGCCGGATATTAAAAACCTATTATTTAGTACTCCACCATTCACAGGAATTAGTATCTCTTTTAGGTGTTAGACTCTGCAGATAATAATCAAGTTCTTAGTTTTTGAGAAATAAATTTTTAAAATAATCGACAATTTTTGCGAATTTTTCAATTTTCGCCGATTTAGTTTTAGGAATTCGTATAAAATCCATTTCTTGGAATATGAGTATGAAAATTTCCCAAAGTGTTAATAAAAGTGTCCTCTTTCCAATAAACCAACACGTTTTGAAAAATAACTTTTAGTTTTTGAGAAAACAATATTTGAAGTTTTGATAAAATTTTCGATGTTGCAATTTTCATCGATAATTTTCAAAAGTTGCTATAAAATTAATTTCTTGAAGGATCCTTGTGGAAATATCACCAATTATTAATTAAAGTATCCTCTTTTGAATGCAAAAAGCCGTTTTGAAAAATCACGTTTAGTTCTTGAGAAATAAATGTTTGAAATAATCTAAAATCTTTTCGAATTTTGCAATTTTCGCCGATTAAGTTTTGAAAATTCGTATAAAATCCAGTTCTTGGAATACGAGTATGAAAATTTCCCGAAGTGTTAATAATAGTGTCATCTTTCCAATGAAACAACCCGTTTTGAAAAATTACTTTTAGTTTTTGAGAAAACAATATTTGAAGTTTTGATAAAATTTTCGATGTTGCAAGTTTCATCGATAATTTTCAAAATTCGCTATAAAATTAACTTCTTGAAGGATCCTTGTGGAAATATCGCCAATTATTAATTAAAGTATCCTCTTTTTGGAGTTGCTTCATGAGTTAAATCAGCATCAAAATAGTTCATTTTGTATCTTGGATCCAAATAATTTCATTTTTATTCAAATATCGCAATAATGTGGCAATGTAGGGTATCACTTCAGAAATGTACCAGAAGTTATAACCATAGTGACCGGATAGATATGCCGGATAGTTTTGATTTTTGTCAAGCCTGCAATATATTTACAAAAAAAATTGGAGAGGAATAGGATAGAATATTCATAATTGGTTTGAAAGCCACCAAGAAAATTGTACTGCAAATCATAATGGAAGTGCATAGATGAAATGTTTAGCAGTACTGTAAATATATCGATAAACGAATGAGAAGTATTGGCGGCAAAGGCTAAAAATTGTAAGCAAACTTACAAAATATTATGGTTTAGCCATAAGAAGAAATTGTAATTCTGTAGAGAATATGAAGAAAGAAGTGTGGCTACATTCTACCACAAATGTACGATTAACGACAAATCGCAGCGTAGTTATTATCCTTTCGAGAAAGATAAATGGTGTTCAAAAAATTCTTGAAATTATAAAGCCAATCTACAATGATTTCACATCAACAAGTTTATTAGAAAGATGCCTAGGAGCAGATACTCAAAACAGCAACGAGTCATTATTTGGTCCACTTATTTGGAATTTTGCTCTAAAACACGTGCATTCTGGTGTCAATACTGTAGGAATTGCAGCTTTTTTGACATCTTCAATTTTTAACTAAGGTTTCTCACCAATTTTATCCATCATGGATATTATTATCTTATGCTTCTAGTCGAGATGAGAAATGCATCAATTGATTTGATTCTGTTAAGAACGCCAGATTGGAAGAGGAAATCTGCTCGGTAAAATTTCTTCGAAGAAGAAGGAATAATCTACAATACCAGGCATAGCATAAACATTAGTTCTCTTTTAATAGCGGATGAAATGTCAAGATGGATAAAGGTCCTTTTAATGCTCAAAATCACAATCTTAAATTTTCTGTGTATTTAAGTGTCCTTTATCAGTTACATCATCTTTTTGGGATTACTTGATAACCAAATACAACATTTTTTGTTCGCAGTTTACCATGCTTGTTTGAAAGTTTTGAAATGTTATTAAATAGTGTTTCATCATCCACATAATCCTACTGAAGCTTTTCACGGGTAATACAAAAACGCCTCGACATAAGAAAAGTTAGAGAAAAGATTTTCAATATTGATATAAGCGAAGAAAAGTTTACTTGAGAGAAATTATAGTATACAATTTCATAATTAGCAATTCATAAAAACTCTATATTTTTTCCTAATCTCTCACACTGACTAAAAAATTATGTCGTTACAATTGATAACGTTTCACGTGTATATAATTTTTAGATTTGCGTAAACGTTAGCGAGTACTTAAATAGATACTTAAATACAAATAATTGTTTCGGTATCAAACTAATTTGATCAAACACATTCTTTTTGAGTTATTCACAAGAAAAAAACAACCTGAAGTTTTTATTTTTTTTTACTAATTTATTACTAATCGCATTTTTCTTTTATACGAATCGTTATCGTAATTTTTTATATGACGTTTTAATCGAGTTAAGACTCATTTCTGTTTTAAATTAAAATACGGCCACAATAAAACCAGCACAAATATAAACATCAGCAACCTTCACGCCGAATCAGAACAATTATTTCTCGACCAAGTCCAATTTTTTTTTCTATGACATTGAAAACCAACTCGTCGAACAAAATTAAAAATAAATCCCATTAAATTTGGCACAATAAGATGACATAACAAAGCAAAAACCTACACTAACAACATTAAAGTTAATTTTCAACTAATTTTGGTTTTTAATTTAAACGATAAACTTTCGACAAAAATTTTTTGAGCCAACAACATTCCTGGTGATTCAAAGTGTTAATATAAATATTTTTAATTTTAATTTTACCTGCTATCGCTGATGCAGCTGCTGCGATTAAAAAAGAAATACATGTCGCAGGTCCCGCTTGATTTCTAGCTACAGATCCGGCTAAAATATAAACTCCTAATCCTAAAGTTGACCCAACCCCCAAAGCGGTTAAATCGAAAAGGGATAAAACTCGATTTAATTGGGTTTGTTCGCCTTCTGGGACCACTTTTTTCCTTGTTAAATCATATATACATCTGATGGTCATCTGGAATTAAATACAATAAAAAACTAGATTAGTAAGAATTAAAGTTAGATTAAATAAGTTTAACGCGGTTTAAAATTAAATTAAATCGAGTATCAATCATGACACAATCCTTTAAAGAACGGTTTAAGAATGTGTGATGTAAAAAAGATTAAATTTATTGATAATTGTGATTACGTGGAATTATCGATTTAGATTAGGAGCAACGTCAGTTTTCTTAATTCGCAGGCTGTCTGGCGTTTTAAACTTTTATTTACGAAACCTAATCTTCATCATTTTATAAAGTTATCTTTAATACGATCAAACACGAAATGAATAGCCCATAAATCAAAAATAAAATTCTTGCATACAAGTAAAGTAAAACCTCGATTTAACGGATTAATATTAATTGAATGAAGAATTTCAATTTTCTCTTTCACTTTTGTTCTCAGTTATATCGAGAAAAATACGCAAATATGAAAATTAGATTAATTTAAAGGTTGTTAATGGTAGAACTCGGGATTCAGACATATTACAGAAAAGCTTTTAGAACAAGAATTGTAGCAAATTTAATTCTAAACAATATTGTTCTCTTCCACTTTTGCTCTTAAATGTATAAATAGCGAGAAAGATACGAAACTATGAAAATTAGATGAATTTATTGGTTGTTAATTGTAGAACTAGGAATTTGAATATATTACAGATAAACTTTGAGAACAAAATTTATAGCAATATATATCCAAAAACCATAAAAAAATTCAACCTCTGCAATATGGAAGAGGTGATCTCAGGCATCTCAATACGATACGAACATCTCAAAAAATTGATTGTCCTACCAAAGTTCATCGTGAGGTTAATTAAGGAAAAGAGACACTTATACCGCAATCAAACCTTAATCAAACAATTCAAAAGTGAAAAGTACATTGAAGCTTGTGACAATATCAATAAGTCAAAAGGCAAAAGATACTGGCAAGAAGTTCGAAAATTATCTAGATATGAAAAGTCTCCTGAAACCCACGAACTTATTGACCCTTCAAATGGCACTTCACACACCGACTCCGAAGAAATTGTGAACATCCACGGGGATTACCTTCAACGTGTGTTTTCATTCTCAAAAGATGCCTCTTTCTGCTCCGTCAACAAAGCGAGAATAGATGACTGGTATGAAACTGCTTTCACCACCCAGGCCGACACTCCCGAAGACGCGCTGATCCACGAGGACGAATACTTCCTAATCCTTAGCAATGGAACAAGCACCGACCCATGGCTATATTATAAAAATTCTAAACTTCTGCCTCATTAATCAACATTTCCCCGAAGATTGAAAGTCATTGGAAGCCCTATCTCCCTTTTTCCCGTCATCGGCAATATCTTGGAAACCCACATTAAGAACAAGCTAATGGAAATCGTCTCCAAATATAAAAAAAATACCGAATTATCCGTTTGGCTTTCAATCTAGTAGATCTACGTCCCACGTTTTGGCAGTGCTCATATCCAACTTCCAAGTGACACGCTTCCAAAAACGCCATGCTGCGACAGTGTTCCTGGATATCCGTAAAGCGTTCGAATCAGTGTGGCATTGGGGTCTCCTATACAAACTCCATAAGTTGAATATCCCGTCTTACCTCCTTAACCTACTTAACCAATTCCTTTCCAACCGCCCCTCAGCAACGCCTTCCGCAAGGGTCTCCCCTCTCCCCGACTCTCTATAACTTGTTTTGTTGCGACATCTACAATTCCAACCCAGATATCTTTGACTTGGACTCATACGCACTGCTCTACGCTGACGACGCCACTTTGGTGACACACTGCGCAAATATCACATCCGCAGTCCAAAGGCTTCAGGCACTAATCCAATCCACGGAGAGTTGGCTGGAAAAATGGAGAATCCAAGATAACCCATCCAAAACTTAATTTTTGATTCCATTTCTTCCTATCAATGCTCTTTCTCCCTCCATAACCATTCAATACGATCATATCCCCTTTAACAAGCTGTAAATACGTGGGAATCTCGATTGAAATTTTCCGACCATGCTATCAAGGTAAAGATGAAAGCGACAATTCGAGCAAAGCACTTCAGATCGTTAACATACCAGGGACGCGGCATATCAACAGAATGCGCCGCTCATATTTACAAAACCATCTGCAGACCGATAGTGGAATATGCAAAGCTGATCCTCGCTGACGCATTTAGAGGAGCCCTATACCATCTAGAAGTAGCCGAAAGATCTGCCCTTAGATGCAGTATACGAATCCGATATCCCCAAAACCCACTCTTCAATCCCAGCAACGAACTCCAATGCAATCTTACCGAGATCCCTCCAATCCATATCCGTCTAAAATCGCTATCCCACAATGCTGCCATCAACTTAAAATTATGTTTTTTAGCAAATTATGTTCTAAACAATATTGCTCTGTTTCACTTTTGCTCTCAGATGCATAAATGTCCAGAAATATGTGATAATATGGAAATTCGATTAATTTACTAGTTGTTAATGGTAGAACTCGGGATTCGGGCATATTACAGAAAAACTTTTAGAATAAGAGTTGTAGCAAATTTTATTCTAAACAATATTGCTCTGTTTCACTTTTGCTCTCAGATGCATAAATGTCCAGAAACATGTGATAATATAAAAATTAGATTAATTTACTAGTTGTTAATGGTGGAACTCTGGATTCGGGCATATTACAGAAAAACTTTAAGAATAAGAGTCGTAGCAAATTTTATTCTAAACAATATTGTTTTGTTTCACTTTTGCTCTCAGATGCATAAATGTCCAGAAACATGTGATAATATGGAAATTAGATTAATTTACTAGTTTTTAATGATAGAACTCGGGATTCGGGCATATTACAGAAAAACTTTTAGAACAAGAGTTGTAGCAAATTTTATTCTAAACAATATTGTTCTGTTTCACTTTTGCTCTCAGATGCATAAATTTCCAGAAATATGTGATAATATGGAAATTAGATTAATTTACTAGTTGTAGATGGTAGAACTCGGGATTCGGACATATTACAAAAAGACTTTTAGAACAAAAATTATTGAAAATTTTATTCTAAACAATATTGTTCTCTTCCACTCTTGCTCTTATATGTATAAATATCGAGAAAGATACGAAACTATGAAAATTAGATGAATTTATTGGTTGTTTAATTGGAGAACTCGGGGTTTGGATATATTACAGAAAAACTTTTAGAACAAGAGTTGTAGCAAATTTTATTCTAAACAATATTGTTTTGTTTCACTTTTGCTCTCAGATGCATAAATGTCCAGAAACATGTGATAATATGGAAATTAGATTAATTTACTAGTTTTTAATGATAGAACTCGGGATTCGGGCATATTACAGAAAAACTTTTAGAACAAGAGTTGTAGCAAATTTTATTCTAAACAATATTGTTCTGTTTCACTTTTGCTCTCAGATGCATAAATGTCCAGAAATATGTGATAATATGGAAATTAGATTAATTTACTAGTTGTTAATGGTAGAACTCTGGATTCGGGCATATTACAGAAAAACTTTTAGAACAAGAGTTGTAGCAAATTTTATTCTAAACAATATTGTTTTGTTTCACTTTTGCTCTCAGATGCATAAATGTCCAGAAACATGTGATAATATGAAAATTAAATTAATTTACTAGTTGTAAATGGTAAAACTCGGGATTCGTGCATATTACAGAAAAACTTTTAGAAACAAAACTTGTAGCAAATTTTATTGTAAACAATATTGCTCTGTTTCGCTTTTGCTCTCAGATGCATAAATGTCCAGAAACATGTGATAATATGGAAATTTGATTAATTTACTAGTTGTTAATGGTAGAACTCGGGATTTGGACATATTACAGAAAAACTTTTAAAACAAGAATTTTATCAAATTTAAATCTAAGCAATTTTGTTCTCTTCCACTTTTGTTCTTAAATGTATAAATATCGAGAAAGATACGAAACTATGAAAATTAAATGAATTTATTGGTTGTTTAATTGGAGAACTCGGGATTTGGATATATTACAGAAAAACTTTGAAAACAATATTTGTAGCAAATTTTATTCTAAACAATATTGCTCTGTTTCACTTTTGCTCTCAGATGCATAAACGTCCAGAAACATGTGATAATATGGAAATTAGACTAATTTACTAGTTGTTGATGATAGAACTCTGGATTCGGGCATATTACAGAAAAACTTTTAGAACAAGAATTGTAGCAAATTTTATTCTAAACAATATTGTTCTGTTTCACTTTTGCTCTAAGATGCATAAATGTCCAGAAACATCTGATAATATAAAAATTAGATTAATGTACTAGTTGTTTTGTCCGTTATATTCGAAGTTCGTTCTAACGAGGTCCGTTATATCAGGGTTCTACTTAATGTATTTAAATTGAGAGATACGTCAGTTTTCTTAATTCGCAGGCAGTCTGGCAGCTTAAACTTTTATTTACGAAACCTAATCTTCACCATTTCATAAAGTTATCTTTATACGATCAAATACGTAATAAATCAAAAATAAAAATGCTTGTGCATTCAAGTACTAAGATATGACGTTCAGGTTAAAAGTCCTTAAACTTAATTATACATGTAGCGATTATTTTCTTGATACAATAACTTCACTTTTTATCAAGATTACAACTTTTACTGTTATTTAATATGTTGTCATACGAAATGAAATTATAATTATTATTCCTAAGCTAGTTGGAAGTGAAGGTAAAGTCTTTAAACCACGGTTGAGTTGACCGTAACCTATTTACATAACAAGAAAATGTAATGCAATATAATGCGCGTCAAATCAAAGAATAATAATAAAGAAATAAAAAAATATTTCAATCTTCGCCGATATCATTTTTCGTTAGCAAATTGTTTTTGTCGATATTTTTTTTTAATTAAAACTTCTCTCGACAGAATCATATACAATTCCGGATTAGATTAATTGTTTAAATGATACCCGAGATAACAATCTTATTCTTATCGGTAATAATATTAAAAATAAGATTAATTTCACTCAAAACTTTTAAATATCATTTTAA